TATATATATATATATATATATATATATATATGGCTGCTTACTTTATATATATATATGGCTACTTACTTTAAATATACTCAGAGAAAGTTTATAATCAATGACACATATATCTTATCATACGATTAAAGAGATATAGATATGCTAGCAAATTATTTATGTGAATCACGTAAGAAATTTGATAGTACTGATGTACCTGTTAAACGGAAGTTGCGTTAAACAGAAAAATACACGTCTTTATTACGAAACCCGCACCAACTTGTAATAATATTTATAATATTAAAGTTTCACAATGACAGTACGATAATATATTGTAGTGACTGTACGAAATATGTTGAAGTTTGTAAATTTTACAGAAATGTTTTTTGTTCACTGGTTCGTTTTCGAGTACGTAAGTAATAGCGTTACCGTAATTAACGATGTATCGCCTACACACGCCTGCAACGCTATATCATTATGTTAATGCAAGCAAATGAAATTCCTCCAATGATAAGATAATGCGGACAGTATCTATGTACAGCATGAAATTAGAATGGCTATCACATATCGAAATGATACGTGTCGATATGAAGTTAATTTAAAACTGAAAACATTTCAAAAGAAGAGTTTCAAAAATAAAGTTTCTAAAAGTAATTGATATATTTTTAATCGGGTCTAGAGATTTCTTTTTATAAGATATAATATTTTTATCTTTCATAACCTTTAAATAAATATATGTAGAAATCGTTAAGCAGACATGAAATCGTCTTGGATACATCGGAAGAGATCAAATTAGTCATAATTATTCAAAATTGTTTGTCCAACAATGAATCATTATAAAAAGTCTTATGAAGGAAGAGTTAAAAACATAAAAGAGTTAAAAATATAAAAGTTTGAATATTAAAATTATATATATATATATATATATATATATAAATTTATAAGGATAATACATATACATGTACAGCCCGCTTACATAATTCTTATATGTTTCTGATATCGCGTAATATATTTAACGCATGAAAAATTTGCAAAAAAAATGTGTTTATAAAATATATTCATACAGGCAAATTAATATGTGAATATATTCGATTATATTATCTTATCCTATCTCTAATATTATCAAGATATTCTTATGCTGGCTTTTCAATTTTACCGAATTTCACATAACGAAATTTTTCTCAACACCTATTTCTCTCTCTCTCTTTCTCTCTCTCCCTCTCTCTTTCTCTCTTATATGTCATTAATAATAATGAATTTGTGAATTGTGCGAATTTGCTTTGCGTTCTTCCTTATCTTTGCCAATGAACAAATGTAATTCGTTACTGCGCTCAATTGCCAATCGTTACGCGAGGAAACAGTATCGATCGAATAGTACAAGTGATTCGCACGCCAAACTTGAACCTAAATTAAAACGGCGAAAAGTGACGTGGAAAGTTTCGTAACATTTTGTCGATTCCAATATCGATATGATCCGTTGGGGAGGAAAAATAGCCGTTGTTACCGGAGCATCAGCTGGCATTGGTTTGGCGATAGCGGAAGCATTTGTGCGCGGCGGGATGATAGTGGTCGGTCTTGCTAGGAGGAAAGCCGTGATGGAAGTAAGTTTTCGAATAATTAATTTACTCTGGCACGTAAATTCGATTATTTAGTTTTTCAATTTCTTGGAGTAACATTCCACTATCGGAAACTAGTACTTTCTATTCGAAATATAGTATGACAGTCGAGTTACACAGCGTCGAGTGACTTTTTACATATACAGTGTGAATTCTTCCTTTCTGAATAATTGAGTGAATATTGAGTGAATATTCTTACTCGAAATTGAAGACAATTTTCGCTTCGAGTGAATTTTTACTTTTTTTCAGTGAATTTTTATTTCAATATAACTCGAAAAGTACTTAATGAAAACATATTTCATTATAATGTTTTGGGAATTCTCGAGGTAAGCTACAAGAATATGTAATGAAAAATTTGGATTTAAGCAATTAAGAAAGAATTAATAAAGGTGACCTTTATGTAATCTTAAAATGATTATTCAAGATCAAACCAATAACACCATTTTACGTCGCCTTCGAAGTCAAAAAATTTTTGTATGAAACATTTTTCTGTAAAAAGCTTGGTTGCAGATATAAATTTGTAACACTTTAACTCACTCACTCTGTGTGTGTATATATATATTTTATTTGTAAGGAATTATCGTGTGCGTATAACTTTCGATTAAATCCTAGTGCATTTTTAGGCTAGAATGAGTTTTACACAAGGAGATGGAAAATTTATCCCATGCGAATGTGACGTGTCGAAGCACGAAAATGTTCGAGATGCATTTCGTTGGATTCAAAATAACGTCGGTGTGGTTCAGATTTTGGTGAACAACGCTGGCCTCTTTATCCCAGGGATAATTGCCGGTATTTATCTAAAGCTGTTTTTGATCAATTCTGTAATATACAATTTGTACGTACGTACGATATTATAGTGAATGTTGCGTATAAAAAGTTCAAAATGTAACGCGAAGTTATATTTAAGAACTTTATGCAAATACATTATTTATCGGCGCATTATGATAGGATTACCTAAAGTATAAAAGTATAAAGTATGAAGCTGAATTTTTCGATGCGATCGCAAATTAATTTAGAAAATGATTCGATAGACTCTTCGCGACAAGACTGGGAGAAAATATTTAACGTAAATGTAATGGGATTACTCGAATGTACAACCCATGCCATTAGAATGATGAAGGCCGCCGATGTCGAGGGACACATCATCAATATCAACAGGTTCGCGTACCGTATTTCGGAAAGTGAAATTACTAGAGAATCGAGCAAATTCAATTCAGGGCATCTCCATTGTCGTGAAATCCATGTGATAATGTGATAATGATATTATATGTAATTGATTAATACAGCATTCAAGGACACCGACTGCGTAACGCACATAGTCTGACCTTTAACGTGTATCCGGCATCTAAACACGCTGTCACAGCCATTACCGCATTACTCCAAGGCGAATTGATCGGTGGGAAAATTCGTGTCACGGTAGGTCGCGGCTTCGTCTTCATGCCTCGAATCTCGAAGTTTAGCTTTATCCGTGTCTCGTTGTTCAAATAAAATTCGTAAAATAAAAAAGATGATTCTCTCGTTAACTTGGAGATACAAGTTACATCTCGATATTATTACTTTACTTAATGCCGACGAATGACAGACGAAAAAGGTAGCTTTGTGTCGCTTTTACGTCTAATCAGCTGAACACTTTTTTAGAGTATCAGTCCAGGATACGTAGAAAAAACTGAATTATCGGAAGCAGCGAAGCTAGATGTCGCCGGACTGAAAGTCCTTTCAACTTATCCTGCATTGGAGAGCAAAGATATCGCCGACGCGGTGGTCTACGTTGTCGAAACACCGCAACATGTCCAGATAACTGAATTGACTATTGCACCATTCGGCGAGATAATGTAAGCTTCGAAGAATATACTGCAAGATGAATATTTCGATATATTAAAATGTTACGTAGGCTGTATATTTTGTTTAACGCGCTACAAGATGTTGCGTCTCCCTAGATTATCGCAACGATCGGGATTTACATATATGGAAATGTTATTATATAATACAACGTAGAAAGTGACAATTCTCTTATATGTGTAATGAATATGTAACGAGGGAAAGAGAGAGCGCATTATAAAGTATAATAAAATATCTCATATCTTTAAATAACTTTATTCGTGTAGTCTTAGTCAACTTGTCCGTATCAAAAAGTGAATTAACTTACAGTCTGATAAAAGGGAAAATCGTAGGGATTACCATGGCTTACTATGGCGACTTCCTAAAGTTTTATTCCGCTTATGCGCTTAAAAATGTCTCATTCGCACTCTCATTCTTATTCTTGCTCTCATCTCTCATCTCTTGTGTCTCATCTGAATTTTGACTGTAAATACAACAATATTCTTTACATGTTTTTTATACAGGAGAAGTTTAAATAAAAAAGGTAAAATTACACAGGAATAGTACATACATGATAAATGTTGAAATAATGCACTTGCAGATTTAGTCTGGCACATTACAACATTGTCTTTTGTGGATTTAGTCTATAACGTGAAACAGATTTTACAATTTCATTTCTAATTCAACCTGTGAATTATGAGCGGTATTTCGATTGAGTCAGACAGCGCATAATCACGAATTTTGCGAGAGAGAATCGAGATTCCACACATTCGAGCTTACGAACTTCTTCAACAGTATTGTACACGTACACTTTTGTATTTCGTTAAAACTATGTAGAAAACTTAACAATTTTTCGTATTAATCGAATTTTCCGTATTAAACGCTAATTATCACCAAATTTTAAATTTGTACAACAAACAGCGACGAGATATTATTAGAGACCCGCGATTTTGAATAGAGTTTCGTAACTGTCGAATGAATAATTAATAAGTGCTGTCGCTATCGTAACATTGCTACGTTGATTGTGCGTGATTACTCAATGTCCAATTAATATTTCGAAATATCCGAAAGTACGATCTTGCGGTATTGATTTTATACGGTCTAAAATATGATTCATAAATTGTATATATATATATATATGAATGCACGACGCGACAATGCTATCCGTTGACCTTTAATAGCATCTCGTTGCGGCGACAAAGGGAGAAACTTATGCGTACCTACAAGAGTTGTATTTAATAAATATGTTATTTAAAGCAAAGTGATTATTAAATTAGACTACACTTCACGCCTACCATTCATTGTCAACATATTAATCTTACAGTGGATAACAATTTTGCTTCTATTTTATTGTATACATAAAGTCGTAAAATCCGCGCGCTCCGAAACGATCTGCCATAATGAGCGTATTTAAGATAAACTTTTGAGTATAAACATTTATATATGTACATTAAAATGGCAGTTTAAAGCTATTCGACTCCACTCCTCCCGCTTTCCTTCATAGGCGATTGCAAGTATGCAAAGATACCGGCTGCTTCTACGCGTACGAGAAACGTTTGGACGTGATTAACGATACGAATGGAATTGAATACAACTCCCGATATATTCGAGTCACTCACTTTAAAGTAGGGCAAAACGGACAGGGAATTTGAGCGAAACCAGCATATTGCGGTTACGTGATCGAGTAACCTTCACAACGCGTATAAAATACGTCTCACAGGATGCGGCACGTTGTTACTCCGAGTTCTACGGATTCATCGAGCCCAAATAAATCCCTTTCGAGTTTAACTCGTTCTGAGATATTCAATGATCAATTTTCATCAGCACTTTACCGTGGGCCAGGATGAAAAGTAATTCGAGTAAAGCGACTTTTGTTTCGAGTTGGCCGCAATGAGCGAACGAACATCACGACCCGTTCACTCTGACGGCGTCCGCATTGATATTCGTGTACGTGACAATGTTGTTGCTGTCGTCGACGACCGGCTTCTGCCTCAATAAATTCAACAACGCGCTGTTTATCACGAGGGGTATGTTCGCCTTGCCATTTTGCAAGTTCGAATGAGTCCTTTGGATATTCGGCAACGTGTTCTTCGTGACCGCGCTCTCGTTCGAGGGCACTTCCCCGTTTCCTACGGCATTCGGGACGTTGTTGTTCTTCGACGGGAGGACCGTCGTCTGTGAATTAATCAAGGACGAACTGGGACGAGTGGAGGGTGCTAAACTGAGCGAGCTGCAGCTTCTGCCCTCGAGACTCGTTTCAGAGTCCCTTCGCTCGCTCAAGCTGGTTATGTATTTTCGTTGCTCGTTCAACGACGAGAAGGAGTCCCTCTTAAGTGTCGTCTTCGTGAGGTAGCTTGCCAACTTGGAGCTGTCCAACGTGTTGGACTTTTCCGAGAGCGCGGACGCTCCCCTGCGATCGGACGAGTTGAGACTCGCTACCGACGATCTCTTGTCGTACAACGTCCCGTCTGACTGCTTCCGATCCTCCGTCGAGTGTTGCTTACGTTCCCGCGAGATCTCCGAAGGCAAGCTGCACTTGCGATCCTGATTCGCGCAATTGAACTTGTTTATATTCGCCAAGTTCTGGTCCGAGATGTGAATCGAACGAGGCACTTCGTAGCCGCTCGTAGGGTTCTTCCTCAGGATGATAGCTTCATTGTCCGCTAATACTTCCAAATACTTGGGAATCTCGCCGGAACGCGGCGTGAGCGTGGTGTTATGTGAATTTTGGAGGAAGGGTTGCATGTCTCTACTTCCCTCGGAACTACTGGACTTCCACGAGTTTCCTACGCAAAAGTTTCGAGGTTGCGATTTTATTGCGGAAATATAACGCTAAAGTGACCGAATTTATATAAGGTTATTCCAATAACTGGTTTGCCTTAAAGATAAAAGAATTAGTGAGAGAACATTTTATACGATTTAACGAACTCTTTAATTGCATCCGCGAGAAAATCGTGTCACCAAATAGAGCTCATTAAATAATGCAAAATTTTTCTCCACAATTTCTTTATATTTTCAACAAGGCAAGTGCTGGAATCCGCTCCAGTTATATGACACACCTTGTGTACTAAATCCATTATCAAACAATGTTAACATCTATTTATAACGTATTTTATTATATTTGCATATGCAACCGTTATACATTTTGCGATTACAATAAATAATTCAGGTTAGGAAGCTTCGTTAATGGAGCGACTTTACGAAACCTTTAAAGAACGATTTTGTTACGAAATGTGGATAATAATGCTTTAGTAAATTTCATACAATTTCATACATGGAAAAGCATCAAGATAAGCATTACGTTATTAATATGTTAAAAGCGCGTGTTACGTTGTGTCGGATTAATCGTTGCGCCAACCTTCAGATGGCGGCAGTAAAGTCAAAATTGAAAATTCGAAAGTCGTATCCTTCTCTCGGCATGAAGTTTTCATGGTACAAAAGGTGGACGAAACGATTGTTAAGACCTACCTGAATTGTTATGATTCTGATTCTTGTCAGCAAAGTAAGCCATGTTAGACACGCCTGCAAGCACGAGCCATGCAATGATAAGTATGTATTCAAGCGGACACATCCTCCGATATATACATTATTATTCCAGTAAAATTCCGGTACATGTAAAGGTTGGAGGAGTTGATGAGATGACGAGATCCAGTGAACGCTAATTAACAATAACTTCAATATTATAGTTCCCTATTCAACAATGCAACTATTATATAACTGTTATATAACTATTATATAACTGTTATATAACTTGCAAGTTATATTTGCATTGTCGAGTGGGAAATGATAACATCGACGTTATATTACTGTTAATTGGTGTTTATTGGGGGACGTTCTACTGAATACGAGTTTTCGTTACGTATGATTTGTGAAACGTCGAGTTACATGAATATACGAAGACACACATGCTTGTCTGTGATGGCATAGAAAATTAATCCGCGGGTATCCGAACGAGTCCTCGTACGATCCCGACTGATTCGCAAACCACCGATGTCGATCCACGTGTCGCAACTTGCATCTCACGGGTCGCTCGACTACTTCACGGCGACGGGATCGCAAAAGAGGCTGATGACGCGGCGCGACTCACCGGCGTTATCACGATTTCTATGCGAGCCAAGATGAAGAATTGCAAAGACCCTCTGCAATGACTCCATGCGATGAGCTGCGCGTAAATAGACGAAGGATGAACAACGCTTATTCGTACCTCTGCGAGCCACATGTCCGGCATGTATCGGGCTCAGCACCGCATCTTCCGTGTTGCTTCTCAGAGCGACGATATTATCGAGGCAAACTTTGAAACTCGGCCTGGCGTCCGCTACACTCCAGCAACGCAGCATCAGCTGGTGCAACGCCAACGGACAGTTGAGCGGCCTCGGCAACCTGTTACCCGCGCTCACGTGATGCAGCACCTCGAAGTTGGTCATGGCAGGGTACGGTTGCTGACCCAACGTCGTGATCTCCCACATTAACACCCCGAACGCCCAAACGTCGCTCTGCGAGGTGAACACTCCGTCCACCAAAGATTCCGGGGGCATCCAGCGAACGGGGAGCAGGCCTTCTCCTTCCTGAAACGCGATTTCAATCACGACGTTTGCGCGAGCCTTGAAACGAGATGTGCGCTCGAGTTCGATCGTCTCACTCACGGAAAGAAAGATCAGCTGCGGTAGCTAAATTAATAGCTAAATTAGTTGTAACAACCATTTTAATTGCTCTCACCGCTAAAGTTTCAAATGTCCATACGTTACAACGAATTCATTCAGCTAATTCTTTATCTTGCGGAAATCCATACCTTGCGATAATAATCGTTCTTGTAAATATCTCTGGCCAGGCCGAAGTCGCCGATCTTCACCACGCGGTTCTCGCGATCCCTCGCGGACACCAGACAATTTCGACACGCGAGATCTCGGTGGACGAAATGCAGCTCCTCCAGGTAGCGACAGCCCCGCGCGACGTCCTCGCACATGGCGAGCAAGTCTTGCAGACGCAGGGCGTGTATGTCCGTGGGCTGCAAGGACCGGCTGTCTCTCAAGTAGCTCAACAAGTCACCGGCCTCCATCAATTCCAACACGAGCAACGGCGGATCCGTGTCCAGGCAGACCCCCAGCAGCCTCAGCACGTGTTTGTGTCGAAAGTGGCTCATTAGCCTAGCCTCTTGCAAAAATTCCGTTTTCTCTTGCGACGAGGCGCTCTCTCGCAAGGTCTTGATAGCGACGGCCGTTATGCCCGATCCTTCCAAATCCTTGGCTTTCCCCTGATACACCTGCAAATGTTTCACGGACACGAGTAAATGATGAGCGTACAGGAGGTTGCATACGGATCGGTACGACGGGGTTGCCGATTCGCTTTTCTCACAGGCGCACCGAATAACCGACTCGACGCGGCATAATCGTCCCTAAAACGGTTTGTCCAATTTTCTTCAATGAAAAACGCGAAAAATCAATCATCGGGGGAGAGCAGAAAAAATTGACATCCCTCCTTTCGGTTGTATCACACGGATGGCTAGTTTTTAACAGTGGCGGCTGATTTCTTCGTACGCGCGCGTCATTAAGAGCAGGGAAATATCGTCGGGAGAAATGCGACGGCGCTTACCTTTCCGAACGCGCCGCTCCCCAGGAACTTCGCCAGCGTGATCTGTTCCCGTCGGATTTTCGGCAGCGCGGAATCGTCCGGGTCGTTCTGCAGCGTGGTGGCGTAGAGCGCGTTGGACTGTACGAAATTGCCGCGGGGTATTTCACGAAGGGTCGCTAACTCGACGTCGGACACTATCGGAGGCAGAACTGCTTTTTTGTCTTCTTTGCGCTGTCTATACACTGCTGGATAACGTTACGACACTTTTGTCTAATGTCACGCATTGTGCAACACTCGGGCTACTTTCTACGACGAGTTCATTTCAAAATGCGCTCGCCGAGTGCTTTTCTCTCTCTCGTCTCAACGAAAGTCAATATATTTCCCGGGCTTCGGCATAAATATACTTACGGCAGACGAAGTAGCAGAGGCACAGCAGCATCAAAGTGATGACGACCACGCTGAGGCCCAACGCCAACCCCAAGTGTTGCTGAGCGGCCAAAATCCCCCCGGTTGATTCCGTCAGGTCGACGACGGCGCTCGGTCTGCTCCACGCGCTAAACCCGTAGGCATTTTTCGCTTGCACGCGAAATCGATACTTATGATCCATGTTCCCGGTAATTATCCAGTAACTGTCAGTGCCGTTGTGATATAAAGTCCAGTGTTCGTTCACGTCGGCTTTGTTGTCCAGCTTGTAGCTGTCGTCGACGATCGAGCCCTGCACCGTGTACAGAGTGACCGGCGAGCCATGAGCTTGCGCGGGTTCCCAGTTTAATTGATACACAGCATTCCGAAGCCTCGTTACCGTAGGTATGCCAGGGGCACTCGGGACGTCGCCTTTATGAGAACACGAGAATGTACGGGGAAAAAATGAGTATCACTTCAAGACTTATATATACGAGGGCAGTCCGATAAGTACTTAGCCTACGAAAGAAAAACGAAAATTTTGGAAAAGTGGCGATTTATTTCTCAACATGGTCTCCTTTTAGCTCGATACGCTTGACCCAGCGATGCTCCAACTTCTTTAACCCATCTGAAAAATACGTTTTCTCGAAGTCTGCGAAGGCTAAGTGCTTATGGAGGACCGCCCTCGTATATAAGCGAGAATATATAGTCTTACATAAAACTTGCTTTCGCAGCAGGGAAAAATCTGTGTGTGGTAAAAATGAAAATCGCACGACGAAAGATCGATACACTCACCGAGGGTTTCAAACGTGAATCCTCCGTCGGGCGGCCAGACGAAGTTCTCCTTGTACGCGGGATACCTCAGTATCAAGCGAAATTTGTACGAGGTGAGCGGCTGCAAGCCTTCTATGTGATACGTCACCGTGCCCTTCTTCAGCTCGGTGTGATTCGCGGTTTGCCAGGCCTCCGTCGCGACGTCTCTGTATTCCAGCACGTAGCCGATCGTCGGGTCGACGCTCGGGGTCCAAGAGACGTCCAGGCTGTTGACGCTGACTCCGCTGAGCGTGAGATTGCTGGGCTCCGGGTACATCTGCACGGCCTTGATCACGCTCTGGTTGTAAAACTCGCTGGACTGGACGGAATACACGCGCACGGACACCTCGTACTGCCGTCCCGGCACCATCGGCTGCAGCTTCGTGTAGAATCTACCGTCCCCGGTGCGGTTCAGCTCCTTCACCAGTTGCTCGCCCTTTTTCCGTATGCCGTTCACCAAGTTGGACGATGTCCAGTGAACCTCGTAATTCACCGCCTCGGAGTTCAGTATCTTCGGCGGCAGCCAATATACCGCCGCCACGGTCGGCGTCCACGCCTCGACGGTGACGTTCTCCGGCATGCTGGGTGTACCCGGCCCGGTCGTGAGCAACTTCCCCTCGTCGAACTCCAGACTCGCCGATGTCAGGCCGACGTAATAATTGCTCAGAGCTAACTTTACTTTGTACTTGGTGATCGGCTTCAAACCTCGTATCTCGTATTGCCGCTCATAAGTCTGCAATATGTTCACTCCTTCGTTGTACCCGGAATCGTTGCCCAAACACTGAGACACGTCAATGTTGTACAATGTGGTGGGCAAACTGTACCTCTCGCAGCCGTGATTAACAACCGGTTCCGGGAGCTTGACGATGATGCTGTTTGCCATCGCCCTCAGCTTCTCGACGCTGTAGGTCGTTGGACGCGGTGTCAGGCAGTTCGCGGCCGGGTAGGGTTGCAAGGATTTCCCAAAGGCTTTGATGCTGCGAATGCCGGACATGTAGAAACTCTTCACCTCCGGCTCGTTTTCTTTGCCCGCGGAGTACGCCTTTCTCGCGAAGTAGATCTGATCATTCTCCGCGTCGGACCAATAAACGTTCATCTTGTCCACGGTGAGAGACGTGCCCCTGCTGGAGCTCGCGTTTAATACCGTGTTGCACATGCAACCGTGTATGTCGACCACGTTTAAGTATCCCTCCGACGACATCCAATACATCACCGGCTTCTCGATGTTGGTCTTGTCGATCGTCATCACCGGTCTTATCGATGGCGTGTACGGGCAGGAACACTTTTCGCCATTTTCCTCGTTCCTGAAGAAAGGCGTCACGTTATTCCCATCGAGGTCCGATTGCATTATTGTACCTCGATTATATGCCATCGACTCGATCCAGTACAGTGATCTGCAAAATACACATAGCGGTGCTTGTCAAGTTTTGTGATAAGTTCAAAGTTAATTATACAAAACCATTTGGCGCATATATACAAGCTTTTACGTACCCTCGAGACGGCAGCACATCCAAATTTAGGATCCTTTTCCCTGGTCTGAAAACAATGGTCTTGTATTCGGTTTTACCGATTTGCAACATCGTCAAGTCTAGCTTCATGATATAGCCGTCGTTTCCTCTGTATTCTGACCAATACAAATTTTTCGCGACCCAGTCGGTGCAGAGACTCTGCGCGGAAAAGTTCAGAGCGAGTATCTTTGTAGCGTTGGCTCCGTTCATCTCCGACGTAACTATCTCCTGCATATCGTTGATCCAATAGATCCTGTTTTCCACCGCCACGTAACTCACTTCGATCGCGATGTGCCGAGTGATCGTGTAGTAGTTGTTTTGATCCAAATCCGAAAGCCTGACGGCGTCCATTGTGGCAACCAATATTCGGGGCATCGGATTTTCGTACACGGTCGATACATTGATGTCCGTGTAAAAACCGGCACCGATCTCAGTGTGCGCTTTCACTTGGAAATAGTACGTCGTATTGGGCAACAGTCCATTCGCTGTAAACTCCAATGTTGATGCCGGTACGCTGTGGTTGTTGCAAATTTCGATATTCCTCCAATTCTCGACGAAACAGCATTGGACCGTGTAACCCTGTATCAGTCCGTTTGTAAATTCTGGTTCATTCCATCTACAAAAGAAATTACATATCGTAAACTTCAAACTAATTATTAAGCTACAGACCCATAATGGGAGCGCGTTAAACAGTTAACGAATTCAGTTTAAATTATTCGTAATAAAAGTATTTGGTTTTAGTCATTTTATGTATCAATGATTATTTATTAGACTCACTTTAACTTAGTGTTAAGATAATCATTAAAGTAACTTTGAAAAATGTTGATTTCCTGAAATAATTATGTTAAAATAACTCAAAATAATGTTTCGTTTTTTAACAATACATAAAAAAATCACTGTCAAATTACTGAATTAATATAAATTTAACACATGAAAACATCACGAAAATAATAACATATAAGCTGTGTGTTAAAATTTCACATTGAAACATTAATCACAAAAACATTAATACAAACATTAAGACAAGACAATTTTATCATTTTGACGAAAGATTTTTTATCATATATACTAGCCTATACAACACAGACATCCAAGGGTTCATAAACATCTTAAAGACATCTAAAGAACGTCCATCGGATAAAATGTGCTGTATAGGAGGATTCTTCCAAATTTCTCACCTGAATGTCGCAAAAATGTTGACATCTTCGCTTAGGATCTCTTTGTAAAATTCCACGTATATCCTAGGATGCGTTGGCTGAGTCGGCGTGCTCTGAGGAGACCTTAGGATTCTCCGAGTGACATGCGCCGTTTCCCAATAAGTAAATGCCTTTATGGTGACTTCGAGTATGGAATAGGGTAGGATCTGGTCGGAATTGTTGTAGGGCATCGTCGTTTCGATTGTGATTTCCGAGTTCGAATTTGTATTGATGTAATCCATGAATTTCACTTCGTAGAAAACCGTGCCGTAATTGATGTTTTTCACGGGATCCCAAGATATGCTGAAGTTCCTCCATGTTCCTTCCACCCTTATGCTATGAAAGTCGACGGGGTTCGGCGACACCACTATATTCTCCGATGTCAGATTTTTCGGGTATCGATGAAACGCCGGATCCATAACAGCCACCATGTACAAGCTGGACAAAGTGATTCCGTTAATCACGGCGGTATTCTGTCCCGACAGATCACCGATCACCGCGTTTATCTCATCCTGCAGCCACAGCAAATGTTCGGAGAAGTAGCACAGAGGTCCTTGCAAGTTTGGGACATGTAAAGCGGACACCTTGAATCGAATTGATCATTTATGTCATTGTATGCGATATGTACAGATGCGCGTACGTTTGTTGTATCAAATATTAATATGCTATATTATTCGCATATCGCAATAGTGAATGGAATTTGCAATTTCCGCGCGTTCAGCCCGGAAACGTGCTCAAGTCGTATCGCGTCGTGCTCGTCGCGAATTATGGTATACATAAAAATTAATGAAATACATGAGAGGAGTAACCTTTTCCGGGACGATCTTTTGACTCATTGGAATTTTTTCGGACGTGGGTGCTCGATAGACGATAGATCCGCTTACGTAGCTGCGAACAATCCAATAGACATATTTATTCTCGATGTCAAGCGTTAAGCCCATCACTTGTTTGCCGTTAAAAATTTCGTCCGAATGGTAGTATCTCCTGTCCTGTCCGTTTAGTCGCGCTACTTCCACGGCATGACCGGTGGACCAATACAGATACGCCTCCAGCGGATCGATCGTGAGCTCCTTCACGATCGCTATAGCCAACGGCTCTTGCTCAGATCCGTTTAGATTCGCTCTTGTTATCTGCAAAACCATACGTGATAATATCCCGGTGCGAAATATATCTTTGCCGATATGTTAACGCGAGCATATCGGGAGAGAAAACATATCTAGAAGATGAAATCTAAAAAATATAACGTTAATAACATTCGTTATTCGCCAATAACATATTTATTTATACTGACATATATATTTTTATATTGTGGAAGACACTTTTCAAATTGAAAAAAATATACGTTTTCTTCAAGCCGTAAGCTTTTCATGAAAGCAATGGTTTACTCCACACACACGTTAAAAAAAAAAATTAGGCTCAAGTAAACATGTTATTAGTACCTATTTCGAATAGATATTTTTCAATTTTTAGATATTTTTCTCTCAGCGTATTCTTTGCATATAAGTATTTGCGTTAAGGATACATAGTGATATCTGTGATGTTTATTACAATTTGTTGCTTCGGGTTCGCCGAATACAGCTTCTTCGAGATCCAGTCCACAGCGACGCTTCCCACCGAATGTATATTGAGTTTGATTTTCTGATGATTGCTGATGTTGTAACGGTATAGCGCGGAATTGTTTCCTACTATGTATAACACGTCCTTGTACCAACTAACGTCGACGATGTGAAATTCGCTCCCGGCTTCCTTTAGGCTCGCCTTATTAATGAGCGTGTCTATATTCTCGCCGGTTACGTCGCTCTTTAAAAGCCCCTCATTCGACGACCACAAGATAGTCGTGCGCGAACCATCCCTGAATGTTGGGTTTCATTGTAAACGTAATGCAACGGTTCGACGTTCAAGATAGTTGGTCCTTTCAAATTGTAACAGCATATAGATCGTATTTCATCTACGCACATGTGTAAAATAAAAAAGAAAAGAAATGAACCGAAGCTGAAATAATATATCATATATCGAACTCGACCAGTCTCAACTGTAAATATTATATATCAAAAGGTCGACTAACGATTATTTCTTTAATAAGCTTTAATAAGTTTGAGTTGAATAAGTTGAACATTGTATAAGTTCGATTGATATCTTCTTACTACAGAGCTCTATGTCGTAAATCATATTTCGAATCATTTAACACAGATTTGTCGAGCTTCTTCGTGTTGCATCAACTGTTACCTTTCTGGCAATATCGCCACGGACCAACTACCTTAACGAACAACGTGATAACCATGCTGTGTGTCCTTTTTTTAGCTGAATATATTTATTACGCTTGATTACCTCAGGGTTCGCCCTCGGAACTCCGTGGACCATGGTCCTCTACCGGCGCTCGTATAGGCCGCCACTCTGATGTAATACTGCGAACTTTCTCGCAAATTAAAGACGGTGTGAGACGATCCGACGATGTCTCTTTGACGTATGGTTTGACTAGACGAATAGTTTGACGATTCCTCCCTGATCTCGAGCTCGTAAGACCAATTCTGCCAAGCTCCTTTCCCTTGGCCGCCCAGTAAATGCGGAGCCTGCCAAGAAACCTTGGCCCTTTCCGCTCCTAGAACGGCCTGCACCCCCGTGGGAGGATTCACGGGAATTGGAACGGGCTGGCTAGCGTTCATCAGTACGTTTACGCTGATGATGCTTCCGTCCAATCTGAATGAGCACATTTTAATAACCGGTCGAGCGTAGAGGCTCGAAAAGGAGATCTCGCCGAAGAGATATACGGAAGGTTATTCATACCTGGCTGGATACGCGTTGTGAAAGTATCTGTTCTGACCGGAATGATATCCTTCGGTGAGAATTTCTTGACCGTTAGTCCAGTAAAACAATTTATTCGCCATAGCTAGAGAAACGACGTGATTGAATTGCGGCTTTTGCGTATTCGCGCGAATATTAACGCTTTCGCGACCGTCCAGCGACATGGACATCACGGTGTTGAGGGTGTGATTCGGGATGAGTAACCGGAAGCTCATGTGGTCTACGGTAAACACACTCATGCTCGAATCGCCGTAAATGAAGGATGGTTTAATCTGAAAAAGACGGGAAAGGATGAAAAAGAGAGGAGGAAATATCGTTGAGATTCTTTTACGAGGGTTTTCGCGCGTGTTTATTCGCAATGACTTTCCGGCTTTTATCGTGAAGATACGAAATGGAAGTACCTCGTGCTTCACACCGTTGCTAATATCCGCCAGATCTAATCTGTACAGTTTTCCCTCAATGATCCAGAAGAGATATCCATTGTAAGGATCTACCTCGATGTGCGAGGGTTGGCTTAAAAATCCGGCCACCGCCACTGTCAATCCCGTCCCGTCCAGATTACACCTGGCTATTTGCCATACCGTCTTGGTGTGTTGCACCTCTCCCAAGACGTATAGGTGACGATTCAGCCAGTCGACGGAAAGGCTGAGGGGTTCAAAATTCACGTGAACGGGGTCCAAGACGACCTCGGGTGTGATGTATCGATATTCGGTGTGTATCGATGTTCGATACACGGAACCGGTTGAAGTAGACACGAATAACTGAGAGGATGCCACGTGTATCGCCACACCGCGGATCGTAGAGTCGGTCTTGTAAATGACAATGGGCTCGTCCATCATATCATATTGCTTCATGACCATGTGCTCACCTCCGAGAATGAGAATCGGCTCTTGCGTATCCTTGACTGAAGATTCCCAGTGTTAAAATGATTTCAGATCGCATTGCAGGATCTCAAAGTCGGCTGTTCTTAGAAAATGCGCATCACGAGTGCGGATCGCAAGTGTCGCATATTGCCGGGCGGAAAGGTCGCGACATTTTTTTTTTATGAGCTTTCACATCTCCAATAAGAAAATGTATCTTCTGAGAATAATTAAGAAACAAATTCTCCTATCGGACGCGGGATGTGTTTCGAAACTGATTAAAAACAAAAAAATAAGAGTGTCGCAACCTTTTTCTCCAGCACTGTATATGTTTTCCGGAGGAATATTTTTTCTCCGGAAAAAATGTACAACATGCGTTTGTCAGCAACGTACCAGTAGGCTCCGGCATAGTGGATATACAAATAATCGCGGGTGGACCCTCGCCGACTCCGTTTCTCATGGTCACGCTGACGTTATAATTCTGGTTAGATTTTAGGTTTCGGAACATGTAGTGATCTCGCGTTGTGTTCTCGGACGCCGGGATATCCTGCGGGTGAAAACATGTGACACGTATATCGTACAGCTCTCGGATACGCCATCCCTACGTCGACTCCCTTATTCGGTATGTCTTAGTAGATATGCGATTAGAGAAAAGAAACGCCATGCCAGAAACTTACTTGGCATAATCTGGTTCGTGCAAGTCGTTCGACTAATGTTAGCGGCGTAAATGTGTGCGGGACGTGTCAAAGCAGCGTGCGTGCCTCCGAAGCAAGCATTCTCTGCGAATCGATGCTGGTCGATGCTGATGCGCAAAAGCGGGGAGGCTCGAGAGGAGAGTGGAGAGATTCATCGACTACTTTCTTTTATTACGTGATGAATTGAATAAAGATGAGTCGCACAGCAGATTCGAAGCTGCTATCGCTCGCTGTTGAGTAGAGAAGCGGTAAGCGAAGCGGTGCCAAAGGTAACGAAAGTGTCGGCAAGAACGTGAAGACGCGTCTCCACACTACAACGATACTCGGAATAATTATGAAAGCTAATGCGATTCATCGATAAATCTCTTTCAAGCGGAGAGTCTACCTTGCAGAACCAGTTGCATACGTCGTTCTTGTAAACGACAATTAGACGGTGCTGCGAAGCGTGACGACGCTAACGCGCGCCTCACGATTACGCGAAATCTCCAAGATCCATTATTTGAGGGAGAATAGAATCGTCAAGTTTAGAGAGGAAAAAAGAATGAAAAAAGAAGACGAGAAGGGGGGAAAAAAAACGTTATTTACAGTGCATAAAAATGTGCGAGAGACGACGTGTGGTTTTAGTGCGAGCGTCGCTCACAAACAGCGCTCAGAACATATACACGTTCGCAGATAACGGGTATAATTCTGTATAATTCTGGCGTGGCGTGTACCTTAAGCTGGGAGTGGTCAGCCCCTTGCAGACGCAGGACATACGACAAAAGTGGCCCGTTCGGGAAAGGGCCCGGTTCCCAAGACACAGAGACGCGGTAGCTGTCTACCGCAGCAGCTCTTACAATTACCGGTGCTGATGTCGGTAGGCCGGCCGCGCGCGTTAATATTACCACGCTCGGCGCTGAGACGATCGGCTCCGGATTGTGCTGCGACGACTTCAGGAGCATCGCTACGCGAAACTGCACAAAGATCAGCCGGTTCGCAAAGGACGGTATCATATACGCCCGGTTCAACGAATGCTCGGAAATGCATTCTTTCCCGTGCGGATAGTTGATATTTCACGGTAGTGAACGATTTTAGTGTAAATAACAGGTTTCTCGGTTGCTTCAACATGGGGATATGTGAAAGAAAGAAACACGCTTACCCTGTAATTAGTGTACGGCTGCAAGTTCTCGACCAGTATCTGGTCACCTTCACCCCACGTTTGATTCCTGCAGTACTGCCACGTCTCGGCCAGCTCTTCGTATCTCCATTGTACCAAGTATGAAATGCCCTCGATGCGTCTTTTTATATCTACGCCCTTCCATTCGAGGCTGAGCGATGTCGCCGTCAATGAGTCCGCAACCAACGCCGGTGCCGGTGGGATGCCAATTTCCGCTATTCGTAGAATTATTGTTACGGGATATTAAGTGAATGAAAAAAATTGCCATAACAGTCAGTCCCGAGCGATCCTTTCTGCCGTAATCGATAAAAATTGCTGGTTTTATTGCTGAGGCTGTCGCGAAAAGGAGAGTGATTTTGCCTTTTCCAATGCTGATAGATCGAAATCTAGTCTATCAACTAAAATTAGCGATGTCGCGATTGACGCATGCCGGTATTGCCACTTTTGAAATTGTTTGTAACATAAAAGAAGTATTAACTTTTGTACCGATGGCATACGAAACAACGCACTGTCGCACCGTCGAATGAAACGCAAGCATCTTATACCATCTTAACCCCTCAAGAGCGCAAAGGCAAAGCGTTAAACGCGTCTTGGATATTCGGCAAGCGACATGGTCGATGACGAGAGGGAGCAAATGTTCAAGGAATACGACGAGATACTGGACGGCCTGAAGACCACGTTCATGGGGAAATGGAAGACGAAGAAGGAGGACAATTTGACGATAGATGACTTTGAACGTTTCCGTACCCTCGGTTGCGGCGCCTTCGGCCGCGTTATTCTCGTCAAGTACAAAGCCACGTCCTCGTATTACGCCATGAAGGTTCTCGACAAACGGAAACTCGTGAAAATGAAGCAGGTGGATCATACGCGCAACGAGAAACGAGTTTTGCAAAGCGTCAGCTTCCCCTTTACGGTCTTTATGGAGTTTTGCTTCAAGGTAAGTATCGAAATTAACCAAAAGATAAGCCAGACGTGTTATATTCGTTGATTATTAATCCGTATTCAGGAGTGACGAATTGTCGATAACCGGGTGTAAAATAGACGCGTAAATGTTTCGTTTGTGTTGACCCATGAAGGATAACTCTTACGTGTACATGGTGTTACCGTTCGTGCACGGCGGCGAGATGTTCACCCACCTCAGACGCATGGGAAAGTTCGACGAATCCCTGGCGAGATTCTACGCGGCACAAGTGGCCTTGGCGCTGGAATACCTACACCACTGCAGCTTGGTATACCGAGACCTGAAGCCGGAGAATATTCTGATTCAGAGCTCGGGCTACATCAGAGTGACCGACTTCGGTTTCTGCAAAATGGTGGAGGGCCGCACGTGGACATTGTGCGGCACGCCGGAATATCTGGCGCCGGAGATCATTTTGTCCAAGGGTTACGGCAGGTCCGTCGATTGGTGGAGCTTCGGCGTGCTGATCTTCGAAATGAACGCGGGATACCCGCCGTTCTACGCCCAGGACCCCATCAAGATCTACGAGAAGATCGTCGCGGGCAAATACAAGTTCGCCCATCATTTCGGTGAGGAGCTAAGGGACATCTTGAAGAATATTCTCCAGGTGGACCTGACCAGGAGGTACGGCAATCTCAAAAATGGCAGCATGGACATCAAGCGGCACCGTTGGTTCCAGTCGATCGACTGGGTTCAAATCTATCAGCAGAAAGTGCAGCCGAGCTACCTTCCTCAGTGCCGTAGCCTCAGTGACACCAGCAACTTTGATCACTACGACGAAGAACCGTTCGAAATTGACTCCACCGACTTCTACGCCAAAGAATTTGCCGAATTTTAGAGACAAGAGCTTTCGATTCCTCGAGCTTTCGATTTAGCTTTCGATTTAGCCGCGCGACTTATCTGTAGATAAAGCACCGGGACGTGGACGTCTTAACGTGGAGTTTATGTGCGGATTACGTCGCGTTGCGTGCGCGGAAGAAAAAGTTTGATTGAATTTGTTAAACAGTGAACAAACCAAACGCGTTTTGGTCGAAGGGGACAGATTTTCTGGTTCTTATGATCCAAATTCGGCTCTTTAACCAGAAAATCTGTTTCCTTCGACCAAAACGCGTTTGGTTTGCTCACTGTTCAACAAATTCAGCCAAGCTTTTTTTTTCGCAAAACAGAGAGATGTCTTATCTCGAAGCATTTTATACTCAACTCGGAATCGCTCAGTTTCATATAACAATATGGATAGTAATAAAAATTAAAATAGAAGGTAGAAATAAAGGCAGAGGAGAAGTAGTTTCATATAACAATATGGATAGTAATAAAAATTAAAACAGAAGTAGAAATAAAGGAAAAAGTACAGTTACAGTTAGAGAGATAATTGATACAAGATAGAAATGCATTAACCTTTAATATTACACTTTACAAATTAGTCGAGATATAGTTGTATGTACACAAGAGGAATTTGGAACTTTGTCTTTAACAAGGCTATATTGTTATTTATTGAGAAACGGAAAGCGATAAATGTTCCCTTTCTTGAGAAATCCTCCTATTGCTTGATTCTGCCTGGTGAAAATTAATGCAAAAATTGAGAAGAATTCTTTACCCTTGAGCTGCTGGAAGTAACGATTTAGCGCATCGTGACAGCCTAAAACGCAGTATAATTCCTTCGGCGGTAGCAATTCCTGTGTTCCATTCTGCTGACAGAATACCGGAGCAATATTACGCGTTTATCTTTTAGAATTAGGAAAATATTATGTAAATGACGACGCGGAAAAACCGCGTTACGAACGTCAGTTTTACGTAAGTCTACGGCCGATAAACCTCGTAAAAATAAAAATGGCAATGATACTAACGCAAACAGCTTGGCAGCTTGTGTCGAGCGCCTGTTGCCACGCTTCGCAGCCTTTTGTGCACTGAAACAGTAAGTACAAAAGATGAAAGAAAAAGCAGTAATAATCATATTAAAATTTCGTATAATTTTATAATGAGAGAGCGAATATATAATCGTTTCGCAAATTAAACTCCGAATCTCATGGTCGATTTAAATAAGATACTCATACGAGTTAGTTCTATGTTTATATTATATAATTCAACAAGCCTACATTCGCGGGATTTAAATCCCTTTTAAAATATCGCCCCATGTTAATTTACGAGAAAGAAATTGTAAATTTTTTAGATTAGTTTCCCTGTGTGTGTGTGTGTGTGTGTTTTGTTACTTTAAATAATTAAAATTTATTGCAGATTCATATAAAATGATGTCGCTCCATGTGTTCCGCACAAATGCTGCGCGCAAATGTGTACCCGGATTCGCGAAAAATGACCTGTCCGATGCATCCTTCCGTCGAAGGCCGTCGGACATTTCACAATTCGCTAAAATACAATTCAGGAAGTGGGCGAACAATAGGTCACGTTATCTGGAACGACGTGACATAACTCGATGTACCGCCGCGAGAGAGACGAGGCGAGGTGAGACGAGCCGAGGCTTGGCGAGGCGAGACGAGACGGGGCGAAGCAAAACTGTAATTTTTCGTGGTCGCGTCTGGTCGACGTGCGTGGCACGTGCCTCAAGTAACGCCCACGTTCATAAGACGCCCGTTGCATGTCGGGCATGGATTTGCGAACAGAAGTTTAACGCATTAACTTTCCACGCGAGAGGATGTGGGCATTTGTCGTCGACAACACGCCGGCCGTAGTCGAGGACGCCTTTTTCTCCCCACGGTGCAGCTTCCATTACGCCGCTCTGCACATCTTTGTTTACTCTGCCGCGATTTCTTCTCACCTCGCACATTTTTCTCTAAGATGGTGTACCTGCGCCCGTATTGTACCATAAGTTGGTTTGATATATTCAGATGCAAAAATCTGCCTGCAATAATACGGAAAAGAAGAATTAGAAGACGAGAGCGAATGGCTATTGATCGCGCAACCCGATTGCTCAACTCGCTCGGTGATTTATTTTTGTAAATTTGCGAGGTTCCTTTCGCGGGAGAGTGGTTAAACTTAAAAAGAAAAACATCAGGGGAAGAAGTAGATTCAGATGCAACTAGAAGTATAAATATACGGCAATGTCTCGGCTCGAGTGTCTCGAGTGCAGGCTTTGACGAGTCTCTAAACAGTCGAAACATTCCTCCCGTCGCAGCCCTTTTCAAGCACTCCAACTTGTGCGGCTAAGAAACACATTATCATTCTCGTCTCCTTTTAATATTTTACATCTAATGTTTCTCGATATAGATTTTACGTTTCCTTGTAAGGAAGAAAATGAAAAGCCTCTTCAACTTTATATCCAACCTCGCTGTCGCACTTTCATCGATCTTAATTGTAAATAAGAGTGACTGTTTCGCAGTAATGCATAGTGGAAGGTCTATTTTAACGTCCGGAGCGATACGAGAAGTGCTATTTAGCAATTGATGGGCTGGTCGACACTCCGCTTAGTTCGAGAGGCGCCATGTATAAATAATAGCGCGTCACTCGGTATATTACGGAATAATAATCAAATCGCATCGCGCGATCGTTCAACGTTTCCTTGAACTACCGCAATTCACCGACATTACCGATAATAGCTACTGCTGAATCGCGGATTCGTTCATTCCGGATATTCCGAAGAGCCAATTTTAATCGTTTAAGAGACTAATAAGTGCACTGTGGAAAAAGAACGATGACGACTTGTCTTCGCTGATACTTCTCGATACATCGTAGCTCTTCACATCTCTTACATACTAAAAAAATTTGTGTTAAATTTAACATATTTCACACACGTTCCAAACGGTCCGTATAAATGTTTGTGTTAATTTAATACAAAGTGAATTAGTGTTGAAAAGTAACACAAATATTATGTAAAAAATTACCAAAAACTTAATATCCATAATATGTTAATAAAATTTCAAGCGTTCACGATTTCACTCGACAAAGCAGCAATCATCTAAACTGATCTACTAAACGTCCTCTATTTTTCTCGTTAAAAGATGAAAGATCATATTTAAAAAGAAAATAACAAACTTGTTGCGAGCACAAGCTCTGATCGATCTTTCGAGACGCGTCGTCACTCACAATAACGCTGTACGCAGTAAGCTGCGTACAGCGGTGTACGAGGGTATCGCATAGGTCAACTCGTCTGAAAAGTCTGTAAAACGAAAGGGATCTTCAGTAGCAGATAAACATTATTAATAATCATTCCACGTTGGAGCTACACGACGGTCTCAGAATGATCGATTCGATTGTCGCGTTGTACTTCAAATCGTGCACGATAATTAGCGTGACTAACTTTTTCTTTATTAAACAGTGAGAAAAGTGCGTTACCGATGATAATGTTTGTGATTTTATTTTTCTGCTTTTGACACGCATCTTTTGTTATTTATGATACATCATTATTATTAGCCTTTCGCGAGAAGGATGCACCGGGCAAATCCTGTGGTTTAATTTGCTTTAACGAGCATCTGGGTTCTCTAATTCGTTGCGCCTCGTCAAACATGACTTTTTAAATGGCCCAGCCATCCAACGAGGTTGACAAAACTATTACACAATGGAAAATGGCTAAGCCAAGACACACGCACACACACACACACTCTCTCTCTTTTTCTCTTTTTCTCTCTCTCTCTCTCTCTCTTTCTTTCGCCTTCTCTCTCTTTCTCTCTATCTTTCTCTCTGTCTCTGCGCAGCGGTCGCTAATTTCTCACTTCCTCATTAAATCCCTCAGCGTGTATTATGTCCCCAACTAGGCCCTCGCTCTACAAGCGGCTCCCCGTGGATCGTAGATCTTCATCCTACCGCAAATGAGCGTCTATCTGTCCTCTCCTCATTTTACTTTAACCTCGTTTATCGCTTTCAGCCCGTTCTTTCTGTACGACAGGAAAAAAGATGTAATGAATGACGGTGCGGCTTGAATTGCCCTTTAATGTTTTTACGACATACTACTAATTTGCGCGCGATCAGCTTTCTTATAAATGTTCCAAAATATAACAAAATCAACGAAATTTAGGTTAAAAGGGATTTGATTTCGTGACATATGTTTAGGTTCTCGTAATTTTTGTTTCACATCGACGATGGAAATTTAGGAAGTAAAGTAGCTTCCGGCGCGTAGCTGCTGGCGCGTGGAGACATTTGTATGGATACCTCGCTGTTGGTGGCCCTCCACTTTACCTCGTTGACAAATACACTTGACCGTCTGGGATTTTACCAAGATACACGACATACGGAAGCAAATGTTTATCGTTTGCAAGTCGTCCAAGTTTGTTTCCCGCGTTTCTCTCACGCTTCAAATAAGAAATGATAGACTTGTTGCAGCAAAAGCGTATTCTAGAATTTCTATGTTTCGTTGGGTTTCACGTATTAATATATTTAGCCATTTCTTTTAAATTCGACAATTGCAATTTGCTTCTTTCGATAAAATCGAAACGAAATGTTGCCTTTTCTTTTTCCTTGTCGAAAGCGTCGAGAGATTTCGCGATCTTTTACACGCAATTATTGTGCCCCGGAAATATAACCTCGAAGCAGAGCGTGCTTGTAGTGTTTAGTCTGTATCAGTACACATATTTTGGTTTGTTTTTATTAACCATAATCAAAAAGTAATTTTTATCTCTTAGTTCGAGCAGCCAGTGTATCTTACTAATTACGGTGGCTCCGAAAAGATCGGAAGTCATTATTTCCGGAAGTGAGCAGAGGATGCGAGGCTACATTAATTTTCGAGAGCGCACCAAAAAATAAGAGGGCCTCGAACAAAAGAAATTCCAACGTTATTAATTCGACGTTATCGAGCTGTGAAATTACCGGAAGAAATGCAAAGTCGATCCGCCGGTGTTCGTGGAATGCACCGACGTCGAACGCTATGACAAACACGCTATGACGACGCACTCGACTTATCGGCAATAAATAACTCTACTGACTTTGCGGGAGAATTTCCCGAGATCGGTTCATGCACGAAGTCGTCTATTTCTATAGCGTCAACGCGAGTGTTTCACCTGTATTTTTGAATGAGAGGTATGAGAAGCAGTTGGAGGTCACACGCAAGCCGTGTACCACGTGAACCTGTCTCTTTTTTCCCGTACAAAGGAATGCAAAAGTTAGAAGTGGGTCGCGCACCGAGGCACGTAAATACCCAGCTAGAATCGCGAAGCGTCTTCCTCCACCTACGTCGCCTCCCGTCCGTTACTCGTACGCGTTACTGCCGACTTACGAACCGTGAAACGAGCCAAAAGAGGAAATCGTTTAAGCGCAATTCTCGCGGTAATTCGCTTTCCAGGTCCCGTTGATGATTTATTATGCCATCTACTCGCTCGCGCGTTTTCTAACATTTTGAACTCCTTCTTTCTCCGTCGGCCGAAACTTCCCCGTGGCGTTAAAAACGACGACGTTAGGAAAAACACAAGCACGGTGCCGGACGGTGGCCGCACTTTCCGTACTTTTCCTCGCACGTGCGGAACGGAAATCCGAACGGACTTCCGGAGAGAAACAGAGAGACGGCGCGGAGAAACGGACGAAGCGCGCGAGAGAGTGAATCCGGAGTCGCACGGCAATTTGGTGACATCCGCCATCGGCCGCACTTGTACGCGATCCAATTTAAAGGCACGAAGCCGTACGAGAGAGAGAGAGAGAGAGAGAGAAACAGAGACGCGCCATTCTTTCATTCGTACGCGCGCAATACGCTCCGCGTATACGTGCGTTCGTCCCATTCATCGGCCGCGCGCGTTGTTTTTATTTGCCGTTTACCGTCTCCGCCGCGAGTTAGGAGCGACTGGGCCCCCTGGGACACCAGCGGAAGTACTTTCATTGTAACGAGGGACCGTCGTCCCTTCATTTTCGTCTCCGACGTCCGCGCGCCGGTCATCCGCGCGTATCGCGTTGTCCCGCCGGGACCTACCAATCATAGCCGGCAACTCGGAGGTAGCTATCGAATCGGAGCGTTGGGTTATGCCGGTAAGCTCAACTCTTAAATCGCCTTTCGAGAAGCTCGGCTGATGATTACCCTGTCGGCCGTACACGCAAATCGTAGGGCGACACGTGTGACACGACAGAGTGACAAGATATAATCCGCCGATGGCTGCACGGATTTGCAGTATAGTGGCGGTGAACAAAGCTTAAAAGGGAATCGTTCACACCTTCGACAGGATATAACGCGACGATTCGAAGCTTCTTCTTACCTGATCGATCTTGCACCTCACCCCACATCCTACCTCCGAGCTCGCGTCGTCCGTTCGATTCTGCAATCAGAAAAATATACTTCGTATTAAAATACAGAGGGGTAAAGGAGGTAAGATGGGGCGATTAGCTAATTTGTCTAAGTTAACAACGAGTCGGCTTGCAATTCATCAGAGGTTCTTAGTGATAATAAATTATTTCTCATTTCTCATATCGCGGTATTCTTTTTCTTTTAATCGAGTAAATAAATATATATAATGATCATGAAATGAGATGATGTGTTGCCCTCCTTTCCTCTATAGATATTTCCTCCGATACTCGTTTGAGCGTTTGAATGTTCAAGTATGATAAAAATTGCCCCGAGAGGGACACGTTAAAACGGCTGAAACGCTTGAAATTGGCTGGCAACGTACCTAGAGGACGTCGATGAAACGCGTAATAAAAAGAGAGACGTTGAGCGCGTCAACGATGGCGCGATCATGTTACGCGCAGGGACGGCGGAAAATAAATTGAATCGCTTGCCGTCTTTAAAAGACGTTAAACTGCTGCATCCGGTTCAATTGACACCCCCGTGTATCTGGTGCGTCGCGCCAGAATGAATCGCCGAATATAATCGTCCCCCGGGTGTTGTAACGTTCAATATTACAGATAAACGTGCGCTCGTTACAGCGGCTGCACCTGTACGTTACGGACTTCCGGGACACAGGTGTACACGTCCGGCTCTCGATGGAAACGAGAGTGATTGGTAAAGGCCCGGCCGTGCAGAGATATACAAGGCGGAGGGAACGTGTTGCGGACGTGAATATCGTTGCCAGGGGTGTGAAGTCAACCATAGACGTTGCTTAGCTCCATGGGAATTTTGGAAGTCGATTCGCGGTTTCACCGTCGTCTAATTACCATAACGCGTTTCATTGCAATGCCGCTTCACCTGCCGTGCGGAATGCAAATCGACTCTATTCGCTGTGAGAACCGTCGCGTCCCATCGACCGATCGCCGATAGAAATTGAAAATCAATCATGTTTCTACCCTGTTCTACTTTCACCTGTACGTTTTCAAAGCATCTTTTGGCGTGTCGGCATTTTTTTCGTCGATGTTAATGATTGATGAATCTTGAATAGCAATCGAGTATTCTTTCTCTAAGGCCCTTAGCTGACTTATCGGTTTAAGACAATGTGCCTTAAGTCTTTAAGCACTTTAAGTCTTTAAGTCTTTAAGTGACTGTCTTAAATTGAAACACAATTTTGTTTGAGACTGATAACAAACTGTACAATAAGAAGAGGAAAGAAAATAATAATGTAGACAAAAATTGAGGGTACTGTCTTAAAAGTCAGCCATTCTGTTAAGGCTCTAATTCTGTTACTTTAGAAATGAATACCCAGATTTTCACCTGCTCCTCGTGTAATTAGAAAGATAATTCATCGTTGCACAAGCAGGATATGACGCGGATTATAAGCGGCGATTTTTATTTTAAGTTGAAACAAATATCTTGGTATGGGCAAGACGTATGTCTTGCCAAACGTTCCAAGAGTCTGTATCCGCCACGAACAGTGCGGTATTTTACGACGGTGCGTTTAACTTGAAATTTCTGTAATTAGATAATACGCGTACGGCTACGAATTACCTTGCGCTACGAACGAAAATATCCGCGGAAACGACAACAGCCCGGAATATGCCACCGTCGTCGTGTATTTTCCTTGCGCGTAGTTGCCAGCAACGGCGGAGTTCTTTGATAAGGAGTAGACGAGAGAGGGAGACAGTACGGTGTTTTCGCGTATTATCTCGCGCCTTGCGTGGATGTACCAATTTTAAAATCTTTTTTTCTCTCCACTCTCATCTTTCGCGTCTTGTGGAAATATCTTGCTCCACGCGATACTCGTTTCGCTTCATATTTAATTAATCGATTTGTTTCTCGAGCGTCGGCGAGCGAGTAACTTTTCGATCGTGATGACACATTATTAGCGTCTCATTGAACCTTCGCTGAGTTCATTTTGTGCGGACACACATCGTATTCGTACTTCACGGTAAAAAGAAATTAGCATCAATTCAAGGCCCACGTATAAGCAAAAATATATGCAAATATATAATCATATGTGAAGATAAAACTTGTTGTTACATGAAGAAATTCTATATAGTTCCACGAGAAATATCATATTCTTGTTATTTAAGAATAATTTGTATGAATTAAGAAGAGAAAATATCGGATAGAAAGAACGATATCTTCAAACTGATACAATTTTTCATTTCAAGATACCGTTCTTTCTATCCAATATCTCTTCCTCTCAAGTCATGAAAATTGAATAACATGAATATACGTTTAGCGAAGCTATATAGTTTATAGTTAGAATTTCTTCATGTAAGAGCAAATTTTATCTACATAGAGGATTATATATTCTTGCTTACATATGAGAATATAAGTTTTGAATTGATATTAATTCCTTTCTGTGTATGGTATATCGTTCTCTCTCTTGTGGGAATTATCTCACTTCGATCATTAACGATTTGGCGGAATGATTCGGCTCCTTGGAGTTTAATCTCTCTTTGAACTCTTAATCAACGTCTCTAAACGATCACTTTGATTGATGCTTCCGTCCTCACTCGAAGATCCGACGACTTTCGTCTCATGTAGAAAAAAGAGAGGGGAAATCGGCAGTTAAAGAGCAACTTTATCCGATCTAAGGTAATTGCTTGATGCATAGATGCCCGTCCTTCCGCACGTCCTTCCGTCACGCTCGGCGGCGCCGGCCAACTGTTGCTTTTTCCCGCCAAACCAACGTAATCTCGAAGACGGAAATAATAGCGGGTGTCGCGAAAAAATCGACCACACGGAAATATTCGTTTGTTATTCGCTGGTTCGTTTCATCATGGATATCCCAGCGAGGAAGAAACGTCCGAAGGATGCACTCGTATTTTGACAATTATATATACATGTAAATCCTTCGCTCGTTCTCTCCTTTTTTCCGTCGCCAATTTTAAGACCGATAAATGCATCGCTGCACGATCTTTCACTTTATTTCACCACATTATTGCAAACTAGCGCTGTCAATTTCAACCGGGTCTTTCGGCAATCGAGTGCTAATTTCAGACGTTATAAATTATCGATTTTTCTCACGACAGCAGATAAAAATGACGTCTGAAACTAGCTGTATACTCAGTTACCGAAAGACTCGGGCATCCGGGTAGTCGAAATTGACAGCACCGGTGCGAAACGTGCAAGACTGAAGGAGCGACGACGAGAGCGCGCGCAGAACCTGATATTCGTCAAAATACGCGGCAAAATAATACTGCATGGACGCTGTTATTTCGCGCGCGCACTCGCGGCACTCGTTGTTTCAAGTTTAAGGAAAAGGGTATCGGGTTTTTTTCTGCGGTCTCTCCAACGTGCACGGTCGCACGGTGTTGGGTGTATACCGGCTGGTGTTCACTCGGCTGGAACAGCGGGCTGAGATCGAAATTTCAGCGATCGAATCGTACCGGGCAGGGACGATGGATATTAAAGGCTCCCGGCGATTCTCAAGTACGAGAACGATCTTCGAGTGAGAAAAGACGTGAAAGGATACACGGGAAGGTATCTTTCATATCGGTGTATGTAAAGTTTCGGAAAGAGAATAAACGGTGTATGTATAAAACAGACCGACTGTTCGAGGTGAGAATGAAAATGATCGTTGACCTTAACGTATTTGCCGTATATCGCGGCTATCTTCGTTGCCGCATACGAGAACGCGCGACCCCGAAGACACTCTTGAATAAGATACAACAACGCATCCCCTCCCGCGCGTAGATTTCTGGGAAGAAAAGGGATGACGTTCCGTGTGTTGTGCGAGATAAATCTTCCTCGTTTCATTCCCGGCTGCCAACGCATCCGAGGCTGCAGTTATATATATATATATATATATATATATACATATGCGGGTCCACCCGCATCTATTTCATTAAACTCGGGAGACATTAGTTTTTCTCAGAGAATAAATGTAGAAGGGAACCCTTATAAAATTTGGAGTCAATAAAGCATTACATCTCGAAATGTCGCCGTTGAGAAGACATCAAGACTCCTTGATTCACTTCCTTCATTGCATCGACACATGTGATCGATGTGACTCGGGTAACGACTAATGAATATTTTTTTGTCACGAATATGTTTTTATTACCGCCTGTTTCGCAATCGAGAGCTAAAATCGCGCCAACGCATGCAGTCGTACACACATGTAGATCATATTCCGAGTTGTTCGTTGAATTTTTCAACGCAAACAAATCCTGGGAAACGCGCCGGCTAACCGACTTTCGACTGACGTCATACCAATTAAAGCGAGTACATACGAGTAGTAGACAGTTTCGGCCGGTTAATTGCTTGATGTGGCTGTTTTTAATTCAACTCCAGGCCTCGTCGCGAGAACTTAATTAGTAAAATTGAAAAGGCGTCCCGTCGTACCGATGTCCTATTCTTCCGACTTGAATGTTTCATGGAAATTTTATCACCCGCGGAATTTTCTCCACTCGAAAAATACGTCAAATCACTCGAACAAGTAATATTTGAACAATCGATGTCCTATACTGCATTACAAGTTCTAGATGGAAGTTATAAATTGAATTTGAAAAATCGTATTGTGCGTACACGCGTATCTTGTCAGATTTGCGCTGTGATTAAAGCGAAATTCGCACGATCGACGCGCCGTGAGGCGATTCCCTGCAGCGTCACGTTGTAGGAGGATGTGGTCGACAGGAAGTTCATTGTGTATGGTTACACATATAATGTTGCATACTGGACGATCCTGCAGATTCTACGTAACATCAGAATCCGCGAATTCGCGAATCCGGTATATATATCTCTCGTTCATACTTGATACTTAAAACAACTGGGGAAAACTACTGCGATATTCCTCCGATGTTCAATTAAAGCGATCCTCTCTTCAAGCTTATCCCAAAAATTCGTCCTTACATATGTATCTGCTTTCTATTTACAAGACCATTCTTGTAACGATCAATTAATTATCTCGGCACTGGGTGAACAGAGAACTTTCTATTCTAACCTTCTTTATCCTCTCTTGTATCGACACATTTAGACTCTGTGAAAATGCTCGCTAAATCAACGTAAACGGGATTATATTCGCGATTCGTTCCTAAACGTACTGTTAGACCAGAATTAGATAGAAGTGACTACCATCATCACGTCGAAGGACGATAAATTATTATTACGCAAAGTAAAAGCTATCGTAACGATTCGAGATTAGAGAAGTAGGGCCGGCATTCGAGAGACGAAGAGCTCTGAAAATGTCTAGCTGTTATGCAAGTCTAAGGTCATTCTCTAAGCATCACCCTGAAACGTGATAAGAACTATATTACTGATACTTGTGTGTTTGGTAAATAAGACGGGCCCCGTCTTTCAAATCATTTTTAGCCGACGGTGCAAGATTCCGCTTCGAGAATTGACAATGTTAATGTACTGCTCTAAATTGAGTAATATAATATTTATACAACGACCAAGTGTACTTTTCTTCTCAAAAAGTACGTTTAAAATTAAATGCTTGAACTCATAACGAATAGGAGGTGGTGTAATCCGTGTGAAAAAAAAATGACAAAATGTTGAGTTTACCCATTTTTGACACATAACATGAGAATCTGTGAACTTTAAGACTGCAGAATAAACAAACATATAGTGTTCAAGTTGATTTATACGCGTGATATGATGATAGGACTCGACTCTTCTCGCTTCGATCTTTTTTTCGTTCTATAACACTAATATTTCGAACGTTATACTGTGAATATGACGGAGCGTTTCAGGGTTAAAAGGCACCGTGATTTCGACCTGCTGAATCCGTAAATTATTTCATATTCTTCTCATCGGGATACTAGAAGATATTACTCAATTGGGGCTGTTATCGCGCCGCTCCGAGAAGTTTCCTTCGATCGTTTGAAAGTTGAGGAAGAGGGAGGTGCAGATTAGACAACGAAAGTAAGAAAATGAATTATGCACCGGAGATAAGGGATCGAACAAGTGATTTCTAAAGCATGCCCCTTTTATCTGTCGACGGCGGCGGCGGTGGCAACCGGGATAATTGAAACCGCTCGCGAGGAAGGGTTGCGAGAGTTCGATGACTTATAATATCAGGCAACTGTCATAAAACTAATTGGAGGAAAAATGAATTCTTCCGCCTAACCGCGTGCCGCACGTCCGCGTATTCATTCGCGAAAGAACGGAATATAGCGCCGTGATTCGCCGCAATAGCGTCGGTATTGTCGGGAAGAAGCTTTCCGCATAATAGTGCGAAATTATTTCGAATACTATTCGTTCCACCGCGTGACTTTGTGTCTCGCGGATGGATCGATTTAAAACGAGAAATTTCCTCGACTTTTGGGATTTACTGTACTGCAATGTGCGGTGTAACGCGCGATAAGTGCTGTTAACGGTGATCCAAGTCGGACGAAGGCTGTGCGCGCGAGAAAAATGGCATTTTCGTCCTTCTCTGGAGGAAAGGGATTAGATGGCCCTGTATCCATTACGTGCTCGTCTTTCATCCTCGACGCTATGCTTATGGGCTGCCATGATGCGCCGTCGTGTAGTTAAGTTAATTAATGAATGGTACAGTCGAGATGGAGAGTGGACTTAAATTGATACGTCCTTCGCCGCTCGCACGCAGCCATTTTCGTGCCGCCGCTAGCATTCGACTCGCAGAGGGGATAATAGGTATAGCCGAATCGAGTACCGGTGCTTCGCCTGCGAACAATTTCTGCCAAAATCGATGCCCCCCCCTCCCCCCTCTCCGGCATTGATTCGACATTACGCTGCTTTCTTTGAGATGCGAACGAACCGGAAGATGTCTACACGGAAAAAAGTTCGTCTTAAATCAAGAATAAATATTCTTAACATGTATGAGCGGAGGATATCATAACATTCTTGCTTATATATGAGAATATTCTTGACTTAACCCTCAAATGCATCATGACGTAGTTCTGCATCGTACGATTTTTTAGCTCATATCTCAATAAATAGCAAGCCTGTTTCAAATTCGTTCGAGTTATTTTATTAAAAAAATAAAAAAATCATGCACCCGAAGTTTAAGACTATTTCTCGCGTAGCGCATCGAAAGTTGTCGTACGGGAGGGTTTCGAAATCTTTTCGCAAACAACAATTCGTCCTCTTGTGAAATTTCGCGAAGCGTCGGGCGATATTGGTTCCCGCGCTATTAGGAGGCGAGCGAATCGAAGTAACGGGATCCTAATGATAAGTAATCTAAGCGCGTTTACTCCAAGTACACGCGGAGCGCTTCCGACAGATTAGCAGTTGCGAGAGAAAAATCGCAGTCGCAAGGATGCGCGTACGTGCGCTGCGTAGCGAGAAATGCGCAAGTAGGTCGCCGAAGTGATAAATCGACGCGCCGGCAAATTTCGAGGATCGCGCGTCGCGCAAATCGCGCGCTCTTCAAATATTTCTTATTAATTAGCGCGGCGACGCGCGTTGACAGTACTCGTCTCGAGAGCCGATTGATCAGACGGCGCGGCGAAGCATGGACGATGTTGGGTACTCGCGATAGAGGCGGCGAATTTGTCGGGAAATTTTCTCGAGAAGAAATTCACCGTGCGTGTGTTCTTGAGGAAGAAACTCGCTCGTTGCTGGAATTCATTTTTGCGAAACGCCTGGGGAATCAGTCGTGTTAATTTTTTATGCGATACCCTCTCAGGCCAATGAAAACAAAAGCAGTGTAATCTTTTGTGATCGAAAACAGCGCGTGAAAAATAATTAAGCGTAAGTCGAATTTAACGGTTAAATCGGTTATTTTTATCGTGCGCCTTGAGCGATTAACATGTTACGTTCGACCGAATCAGCATGACCATGCCTTGAGCAATAAACGTGCGTTACACACAACCGTCTTACGACAGTGAGATACTATGAAAGATAGCCATAAATAACACCGATAAGCGAGACGAAGCGCACGATAATGTCCAGAAACGTCGTAATCGGCTCGTAATCGTGTAACACAGCGTTTTATCGGTTACGGGCTACCCATTAGCGACGATCCCGTATGTACAATATAGAGCAAAGTGTAAATAAATAGATCGCCACGTTCGTTAATCGAATCTGTTTGCCGCGCACGACTCGTTTCGGCCATAAACCAAGAAAGCACGAACCATCAGAACGTGCACGCGTTCGCTCTTATCTGCGAAGGTAGATACCCCGCGGTTGGAATACGCAAGTGCCATAACTTAGTGCGATGTTTTTATCTTGCGGCACTCGACGGAAAGAAAAAAAAAAAAAAACGGAGTCAGCGCCAAAGGCAGCCCTTCTCTGTCCCGAAGTAGCTCTCGAAATTGGGCGCGATGAATGAATCTTTCGCAGTTTCTCGTTTTATCCCGATCGAGCGGCGATCCCTAGCAAAAATTGAATCTCGCGCGTGTCTGATAAATCTCTGTCTATAACGTCGCTATTAACTGGTAATAAACACGAATTAACAACAACGTTACATCAATCTTATAATTTCTCGCTCGACGATGTAACTGTTACGTGCGACATATGTTACGCTTATATTCTCGAGCGGGAAATTACAATATTGATTTAATGTCACTGTGTTTTACTGGGGTAACGTTAACTTCTCCTAGTAGCTAGATGAATAAGTTAGCTGATGGTTGAAGAAAAAGAATCGCGAGATGAGGAATCGAGCAACGCGAAGGGGAGGCCTCTTACCTGCGTGAGGTCCAGGTCCGGGCACTTGGAGGCGCACTCCTCCTGGAGGCTGGCCAGAACGACGTTCTCGTCATCTTCCGGCAGGAACGCGATCGCCACCCCCGCCAGCACCAACACCTTCAGCAAGGCGCATAATCCTGTTCGTAACATAATAAGCCGGTACCCCCGTGGTAATTCCCCTGCGCCCGCAGGAATCAGCTTTCGCGCGAACCTCGGCCGGCGAATCGACCCCGAGCGCTAATCATCGCTCCTCGACGTTCCTCTTGACCTTCCGTGAGTGATTCGTGCGCGCTAAACGAGCCGATACTTCCTCATCGCCCTTGGCCGATACTTGAAAACGCAGACGTGGCGTGCTCGGCAGCCGCATCAACAAGTGCATCAACAGAGACGCGGGGCAGATTGGACACTTCCGTTAAATATCCAGAGAAGAGCGGCGGAACCTCCCCGCTCGCGAAATCCCGATGAGTCGTTATTCGTAGTCACGTGACACGTCGTTTAAGTAACGATGCATTCCGGCGAGAAACTGACGCGTGACGCGCGTGCAAAAATGCCGCGCTGAATTCCCCGCGGAAGCGCGCTTTTTCAGGCGCAATTTCGTCAGTGGACGCGCGACTCCGCGCGTTTCGCAACACGAGTCGGCTCAATCTCGCGATTTTCCCTCACAATCCAACGATAAAACTCCCGATAAACGCCCGATAAATAATCACTTTGTTTTTCGCGATGCGGGGGGGGGGGCGCACAGCGACGACGCGCGTACCATCCAGCTGCATAGAAGGCGCAGATACACGTGACCGGTCTTCTTTCCTCGCAGTTTTATTTTCGAACGTCCCAAGCAGCAAGTGATAAGAAACGGAACGAACGACGATAGTCAGTGGCGCGCAAAGTCCACAGCCACGATCGAACGGATTTTGGCGATCGGTCACGGTTCGCTGCGTCGAAATTCCGCTCGCGGAGCCTCGATCCGTCGAGTCACTCGCGATCCCGGATGGATTATTAATCGGACCCGCACTGAAATATGCAATCCCCAGAGTCACAATCCTCGATGTTCCGGGCACATACACACACACACACGGGCGATGCCGAACTGCGCGGCGCGGTCGCTGTTCGTTGCTGGCGAGCATAAGAGCAACTGACTGTATGGCCACTAGAGTCAACCACCCCCACTACCACGAGCACGAGCACCCTTATCTGCTGCACTCCGTTTGGCCAATTCGCCTCGGCGAAAGTACACCGGGAGCACGCCTGGTTGCATGCTTGCAAACGGGCGAGGGTGGAGCGTTTGTGCGGTACCGACCGACTGGTCAATTGGTAGATTGACCCGTTCTTACTATCCCTGCAAACTTTCATTCATTCGTTCGCACGTGCCGCTCTGACACGCCGCAAGACGGCCGACCGGCTGTCTTCGGAGAGATCTTGACAAGTGTAACGGTCGCACTCGGGTCGCACAGTTCAGCGGGGCGAAATTCACGGAGGCGAAGCACCAAAACAAAGGTGTAAGATTCAATTCTACGCAAATCGACGCAAATGCTATATACTTGCTCCACCAAAATATACCTAGAGATCATTTTGTGAAAGTCATTATGTATTTCCCTGGAAATCATGATTTTTTCATGTTTGAGGACTGACGTTCCTAGAAATTAAGCCCCACTACTGACATTCAGGAAAACTGTAGGAAATAATAGAAGCCTGTCTTTGCACCGACGATCAATTTCACCCGCGTTTTTCTTTCCTTCCTTCGGCATAAAATGACAATTCACCGCGAACTTATCTAAGGCGCACTCGAAAGATGAGACGTTACTATCAAGGACTCGAATTAAAATCGCTCCCGAATTCACGGACCTTTTGTTGATTTTGTTATTCTCGTAAACACATTTGTTAGCTGTGAACTCATTAAAATGATGATTCATTTCGACAGATTAAATCTGCGGGGGTCGGCCGGTATTTGTGGTGTCATTGTCAGTTACGTTTTGTTCCTTTCTTCGCGCGCACGCGCGCGCTGTGACCCGTAAAAGCCATTCTTCCTCGAAAGTGAATATCTATCCGATCGGCACCAATATATTACCTCGAGCTTTCTTCTCCTTCGCAAAGGCGCCAAAAGCTAAAATCACGCACTGGAAATACATCGCGTCTCGAGCGCGTTGAGTTCTCGACTGCGATTGTATAATTTATATCGAATTATAATTAATATCGAATTATAATTATATATGAAATTAATATAATAATAATAAATTCGATCTTTTCTCTCGAAGAATGTGCACGCACATGCGTGCGTATGTGTCTATAATTATATTTATATATTTATGCTGACACAAAATAGGACGGAAAATGTCCAAATTAGAACTCGCACGGCCAATCGTTGCGATAAAGAGAAACCCCGGCGGGTTTGGCACGTCAAATTCCTACTTACATCTATATTAACGTCTTAATGTCTCGGTCACTGCTAAACCCCGCGGGACATGTGCGAATTCTTCGTCTGGATACGTCACGTAGCCGTCGTGATGCAGACAGAAATACTGCTATTTACACGGACAATAATGGAATGAAAATGTCGGGAGCGAATGATTACGGCTAATCTACCAAATTGCATACGTACGCGGCGGAGAAAGTTCCTCCGTGGAGGAAACGCGACGGGACTGCCGTGATAAGGATGTTAGATTTTTTATCGCGCGACACGCGCATACGATCGACCAACTAGGACGGATTAAGGATGTAACGTTTGTTGTAGGCGCATAGATCACGATGATGAGCCGTAACGAGTGTCGAGCGTGTCGAGCCTGTCGACGGGGTATGGTATACGACATAAATCGAGAGGAGCGATCCGAGCGCGCGCGCGCGCCCGCTCTCGCGAGCGCGAACGCTCGCGGCTGAGCGAGTTGGAGGTCGGAGGTGTATATTGGCCATTTCCGCAGGAAGCCCTAGGTAACCTGTAACCGCCATTGAGGTTCTAACTGAGCATACCACGGATCACTATCGTTTCATAACGCGCCCGCGCGCTCTGGATTCGCCAGTACGTGCGTCGCGCCCCCGAAACGCTAATTCGCCGATCTCCGTTCCCGATCCGCGCTTCTCTGACCTTTCCAAACAGCGATCAGTTGATCCTTCCTCCTCCTCATCCGACTGTGTCTCGTTTTTGCGAATGTATCTTTCAGGACGATAAAAATGGGAATTTTCACGCGATGTTCACCACTATGCACGACAAACGGAAGAGCGGTTTTAAACGACTGACACGATAAAATCAAATCCCCGTTGGCTATTTAGAATAAAATAAACTCGTATGTCAGACATATACATTATAATTTATAATACTCGTGTTTGATATAAAATTCTCTTTTTCCTTTGGAGATTTGGTTTAATAGAAAGCACAACAGAGTTATCGGTATACTAATAGCGAGAAGTTTGGCTACACAACGCGGTCTGAGCGACGGTCGACGTTTGTTTTGCATGCGAGGCAATTGTGGAATAAAAGGTTTCCAGGTAAGAGTGGTCTCTACGGAACTAACCCGGATCCACTCTGTTTTACGCGATTTATACCAATAATTCGGGTCTATTAGGCCAATAAAGTGTATCAAAGAGGAAGAATGCACCCTGAACGAATGATAAATGCGATGTCCGTTGAGCCATTCATGTGCAAACGGCTCGTGTAAGGTGCGAGTGGAGACATTATTTAGATCGAATAGTAAAGAAAAGCGGTTTTTCAGAAAGACGTGATTATTATTGTGCTGTAAATATCCCAGGTAGCACAGTTACTTTCATATATATTCTTTAAACATGATAATACGTTTATGAAACGTTACGTGCGTTTAAAGAACGTATATAAAACTACAATGTGTTATCTGATACATATATATACACACACGCATATTTGAATAATAATATTGTCAAATTAACACCGAATTACCAAAGAATTTTATCTTTTTTTAAACCGTGTTTCGCTCGAACACAAAAGTATATACAAAGTATATATAGCGAATGACGCAATGCGATACGGCATATCGTATCTTTTGATAAAATATATTTACATTTATTATTAATAGTTTTATATTTACGTGTGTTTTCCGGTGATTTATCTCGCAACTATATGCTACAAACTAGTATTGTGGCGCCGACAGCTCCACATCAATAGCTCGAACGAATCCGGCGAATCGATTAGTTCCAAAATCTCTATCAAAACGCCAACATTTTTATAAACATATAAATCGATATAAATCGAAATCTTAGGCCGGTATTATATTTAGATCTTTTATTCAGATCTTATATTTAAGACCATCTTTTAAGTTCAACTTTAGGTGCTTCGTAGCTAATAAAATGAACCGTAACTGCATCTGAAGATGAATCTTCAGATAGTCTTATATAAAAGATCCGATTATGAATCCCGACTTTAGAGTGATATAAAGTTATTTTTTACTGGACATTTCTCGTTCTAATATTAGTAGGCTAGTATTTCATTTGCAAGGCTATCAGAATAGCTATCGAATAATAATTTTTGGAAAACCAAAAACTTTCTTCGGTGATTTTATAAATTCCCTATGTGATGACCAATCGGCACGCTCAACGAACTGGTAGTGCGGCAAGTGATATACTAGCCGTAGAGTCTAGGTGCGCTGCGGTACTACAGAGTGTGCAAGAGATTCAAGATGGAAGACGGTGACAATAAAGTAGAAGTTGAGCTGGGTAAAGATAAAAAATCATATGCTGGCATACCAGAAGCCGATTTTGTAGTAAGTGTAACTTATTAACATATAATCTATACACCGGGTACGTTTTAAAAAGCGAAATTATTACGCAAATCAATAATTGACCCAATTTACTCCAACCGTGCTATAACGAACCTTCACATCTCTCGTTTGATATTTCTACACGTGCGATATAAAATACGTATCTCAATTTTAATAAGAAAATATCAGGAAGCGCGTTTTCTTATCTTTTGTCCCTTTTTAGTTAAAACTAGTCTTCACCACGCACACACGCGCGCGCACGCGACACACACACACACACATATATATATATGTATTGATCAGTCAAGATTTCAACCAATACTCAAACCTTATATGGTACTCAGAAAAAAGCATAATTCATTTTTTCAATTCTCTGCCTACAATTAGAAATATTTTATGATTTAATGGCTCTATGTATTACCATTTTATTATATCCGTCTTTATTATGTCATTCTGTACAATTATCTATTAAATGTTATTCTTTTTGTTTTATTAAAATGAAGATAATTTTGTTTTATTAAACTATAATCATTAATGTTAATGGATATTACATTATTTTAGGATGATGTGGAAGCTTTTATGGCAAAACCAGAAAATGAATCTGTCGATAAAGTACTCAGGAAGTTTGACGAAAATCATGGAAAGTATAAATTTATGGAGTATAATCTGGCCAATAAGAGAAGACGGTTGAAGGCACAGATACCAGATTTAGAAAGGTCCTTAGAAATGATTGAGAAGTTACAAATTGAGAAGAACAATAGTCATAATTTGGAAACGCAGTTTCTACTGTCTGAACAAGTTTATGCGAAAGCAATCATACCACCTACAGATAAAGTATGTTTATGGCTGGGTGCTAATGTGATGCTAGAATATACCTTAGATGATGCGCAAGAAATGCTGACCAAGAATATTGAAGCAGCAAAGAGGAATTTAGGATATGTAGAGCACGATCTGGACTTTGTTCGAGATCAATTTACCACCATGGAAGTAAACATGGCACGTATTTACAACTGGGAAGTGAAGCGCAGACAAGCAGCTAAACCAACATGAAGAAGTCATTCATTTTAATCTCACATGAAATTCGCCTAAAACCCAAGAGGTATTTCCCTCGATCAATTTAACCAAATATTGCACCGTATAATTCAATGTGATATATTAATTTTAATAACACTATTGCATATTTCAGGGTACTTACAATACATTAATAAAGTTTACAATACAAAAAAGCTTCTGGATATAAAACACCATTAAAATTGCTGTAATAAAAGACTTGGGAACTTATTTGATTATAAATTTGACACGTCGATAAAGTATTTATGTACATTGTTATTACAAATACATTTGAATTTCTAAACAGGCTTTTTGTAATTTTGAATATTAATGTTAAGTTTACAATACCTATTGTCCTTTATATGTTGATCTTATTTACATTTTATCTGCATGTATTGAATGTGTAAAAAGGAAATGTCTCGACGCTTAAGATACGAACATTATTAAATGTAATGATAAAGATACTTATTAAAAATATATCTAAATATTATAATAAACGTAAAAGAAGTATTTATTTGAACTTTGAGATCTCTACTCTGTACAAACAATACAGAAGTGTGTATTAAGTAGATCTTATACAATAAATTTCGCTTTACAGAACAATTTTCTAAGAAGACTAAGGACTAAAGCTTATCTCTTAAATGGAAAATGTGAATAAACAAATCTGTGTATATGTGTGTGTGAATATGTGTGTATGTGTGTATATAGTGAATGGAATGATTACACAAATGTTTGGTAATTTGTCTTATATTCTAACCTTCTTAAACGTTTTTCATTATAATAAGGCACATTGTCAGGCTGATTTTTTTTAAAAATCAGTATAGCTGAGACTAGCATGAACTATGGTTGATCATGTGACATCCATCTTGCTTACTCTGTTGTGGTTTCCTCTGTTTCATACTTTATCAATTTTGATTTTAATTCTGCGATTTTAGCTTTAGCTTCGTCCAATTCTTTCTTTAAAAGATCAACCTCTGAAGTATCTTCCATGATACCTCCTACATGTTTACGCACATATCTGTGATATAGATAAAAAATATAATTCACTTTTCTGATAATCAACACATTAAAAAATATGCAATTGGAAAACAACTGTTAATTCTCATCCATATGAAAGTATAAATAATTAACCCTTGTCGGTCGTAAGTCACCTCTCACATGACAACAATACTTTGTCGCTGCGGTCGTATGTCACGTAGGAGGTGACAAGTTCGCATGTTTACCGAAACCAGCTACAACCTAGTGAGAATCACGCATAAAAAGCTAGCGTCCGATAAGGGTTAAAATTGATTCGTTAAACATCTAATAACAAGATGGGTTTTCAGAACATCTCAAAATATTTTTTAATATTTTACTGCAATTACTTAAAGTCAGTTAGTAAAGTTTATTGTATTTTTTTCATCTATAAATAAACAGAGGAAAAAGTTTCATGTTATTATTTACTTCTTTTATATCTTTCGTACATTAATTAGATGAAAAATTAACAAAACAACACAGAATCAGATCTAACTTCAACTTTACTATTAAATAGTTAAGATAAAAATAATTCAAAGTGTGGTAATATTTTTTTTACAAATTGATAGTCTATATAATATTGAACAACTAGATTTTTTTTATTAATAATAAGAAAAGGATACTTACTCTAGAGCATCAGCAGGCTTTTCTGGCTCCTCGTAAAGCATTACCAGCACCTTTGTTAAGCCTTCCATGACACCGGATCTCTCTAAATATTTGCGAAACTCCTCACGTTTGATGTCAATTGGCTGTAAGCACAGATAAATATTTCATTATTTATTATTATAAGTAACTGTGAGAAACCAGTGTGACAGAATAAAACCGTACAAGATACAGAACCAGTTATGATACCATTCGCAAGACAAACAATTCTGTTATTATTCTTTCAATTTCTATTTTAGTTGCATAGAAAAAATTAGTAAAAAGCACTTTTGATCTTTGTTGAGGAACGGCGAAATACGATTGTACAAAAAGTTATCATCAATTACCCTTGACATTTCCGATAATTCTATCGTATCGAAGAAGCAAAATTCGCGTGTTCTCAACACTTTCATGAATCTGCCAGATAATAGATGTGTTAATCTTGACATATAACTAACATATAAATAAGCTACAATTTGGACAAAAAGACAATCGATTTCATAAACAAAACATCGACGCATAAACGATGTTCGATTCCATCTGCGTCGAAAGAAGCCACGAGTCGAACTGAGCTAGTTTCTAAAAATTGCACTTAAATCGATCAATTAATTAAATAATTACCATTTTGATCGTGTCTTGTCTATTCTTTCAGTCAGATTTGTCCTGAGTAAAAAGTTCTTCCAAGGTTTAAGTCGAGGAAGATTTTTCACAAAATAACGCTCACTTTTTATTTTCACGCTCTTAAATCGAAGCCAAATTCTAGAAATAAAAGATAACTATATGTATTGCACTTCTCGTGATGGTCCTTTCGTTTGATTTCCGAGGACGATGCCGTTTGCTCTACGTTCGAAAGAATCAATTTTGAGAAATTCCTCTCACTTCACCTGTTCAAGGATCTTACTGTGCGATCAGACAACTAATGGCAGCGTTCAGCAGAGAAAACAGCTTTGCAAACAGTTGTGTAAAATTCGTGAATCCGATTGGCGTATGCTCTGAATCTTGGTCGAATCTAAGAGCATACACCAATCAGATTCACAAATTTTATAACAGTGCAAAGCTGCTTTCTCCGCCGAACGTAGCCAATAGCAACATGGAATTGAAGGTTTCCCACAGCGATGTGGCCGTATGGCATACCAGCGCAATACGTGACGCAGTATCCAATGAGTGTATTGCTTTTCCAGAAGAGCTGCCCGCTCATTGGATATCGAGCTGTTTGCGAAAGTCATTAGGCTGGTATTACTTGCATTGTGTGACCAGTTTGTCGGATGTGCCAATTGGCGATCAGATCAAGAATTTCTAGGGTATCTAGAGAAACACTAGAGACCCTGGAAATTCTCTATCCAACAGCCAATCAGCATATTAGATAATGTTCGTTGTAATGTCGTATATCAATCTTAGGCCTGTTCTAAGTACAATACGTAGTTGATTTGTTCTTTATAGCTGCACTGCCGAACCAGTGCAATAAGTTAAAATGAAACAAGTAGATGTTTTCTCACTTCAATTTGTCGCACCAGTTCAGCAGTGCAGCAATAAAGAACAGACCACGTAGTCGCTGTCGAATATCGGAACACAGCCGACGGTCTAATGAGGAGAACTCGTCCACGAAAAATAAATTATCTCATATTATATATTGTAGTTTTATAATTAAATATTAAAATATTAAAAATATTAATAACATTATAGTTTTATGTTTCTCTATTTGCGGAGTAAAATTCGAATTAGCCGAGACGAAGCACTTCAATTTCAAATTCAAACGCCACTACTCGTCCCGCGCGTTACGCATCAGCTCATCTCACTGCGCGCGTACCAAGCATAGTCAAGATGGCGGAATATCGGTAGTAGCGTTTAATTTACAATCCACGGGCTTTAAAAACGATCGCGCAGTATCGGCACCGCGATCGTTATCACCGACAATTTCGGGGAGGAGAAGCTCGCGCGATGTTGTGCTGCGAACGTGAAGTTTGGTTACGCGCGTTTTTGACGTGCGCGATCGGCGCCTGCTCGATGCTGGGCGACCTCGGTCTCAAGTACGGCAAAAGCGCGCCGGAACGCGCGGTATTTGACAATGCAACGCACGCGACGGTGGGCGGTCTTACGTGGACGCTGATTGTCGTCCTGTCGCGAAAACCCATCATGCGCAGCCTGAATGCTATATTTTCTTGCTTCCTGCTAGCATCTTTCATCGATCTGGATCACTTCATCGCTGCGCACAGTTGGCATATTCATGTAAGTAACGAACGCGAGTTAGCTCCGCAGTATGGGGAAAATACTTTTTAAATTCGATAACGATATTCTGATTGAGAGATTAATATTGGGAGGGAAGTCAATAAGTAGTGTGAATAGCTGTGAAGAATTTTTCCGAGCAGTAATTTTTAAATATAGATTATGTGGGTACATACATGTATATTAGTACATGTGTGTATATATATATGTGTGTCCGAAACATTATATATATATATCATTTTTTTAAACTCTGATATTGCCATATTTCTTCTAGGATGCTACGCATTTGGACAAACGGCCATTCCTACATTGTACTACAGTACCTATCGTCCTGTGGATACTTTTTATCCTACTTTCCAGTATATTCCACTCTCCAGAGTTCCAGCAGGCTTCCTGGATAATGTTGGCTGCCTTCTTGAGTCATCATATACGAGATGGCACCAGAAGAGGTTTGTGGTTCTGTCCCTTTGGATCCACCCGTCCAATTCCTTACTACTTATACGTGAGTCTTAGCATGTCCCTTCCTTACCTATTATATTGGCTCTTGAGTCTGCATACTTTTACAGAGAAGAGTGACAGCAATGTTTCTCTCATTGATGTGTGATATTTATTTTCTAATTTATATATTATATACTGAATGTCCCCGATTGAGTGGACATCCAAAGTATCAATGTATAAACTATCAAGTCTTTGTTACATATCTTTGTTACATATCATTTTTTTAATTATATATGACTAAAAGTAACTGAAACAAGCTTTAAGGATGACACATCACAGTCAATATTTGACTTAATTAGTAAAAATAATCATGTTTTCAAGTTAATGTTGAAGTTTTTATAATGGAAGAATAAGTAATGAGAGTGGTTTTACACTGTTACTGAGTTATTGCGAATGAGTAGAAAAGTTCGAATAAAACTTCTACGCAAGCCCCACGTGCGTTTGTTTTCTACGTTTCCATATTTACGAGTCGATAGACAGCCTATTATTATGCAAAACGCCGACGATATTTCCCACAACTCAATAGCAATTCGATTTTGTAATCGATAATATACACCACATATTATCGTCTATAATGTCTGGCGTGTAAAGAATGTATCATAAAACTATTTAATTTCCAGATAAGATTTAAATAATAGTAATGATCGTAGTGTACGTATATTTTTCTCTTTAAGCTTATTTTAAGCGACACTTTTTTAAGACTACTGGGTAGTCGCTGTGACTGTCCTTGTTTAATGACGTCAGAAGCGAAAAAACGCAGGAATTTGTCAATTATTGCGTTATATATTCAAGTAACAGGATATACAAAATATTTGTGATCGATTCAGCACACTTGTAAAATTGTCCGAGTACTTTCCTTTTACTCGAGCAATCAATAAATAGTCGCAAAATTAACTTTACATACCTTCCTTTTTTCCCTACGTATCTTCCTTTTTAATCTACTTACTCGTAATTTTGTCAGTGTTAATTTTAGACTATTTACTAATTGTTCCAGTAAAAGGAAATTATTCGGACAATTTTACAAGTATGCTGAATCAATTACAAATGTCATTTTGTAGGTATATCTTTTTATTTAACCCGGGAATAGTCACCTGAGGTCATTTAGAATCTAATTAAAAGTCGCTATTATTAACAAAATATAGCATATTATCGATTGCTGTATTAAGTTATTATTATTTAAGGATATTATAAATATAGATTTACTTACTACTTTAGAAAAGAAAAGTGAGGAGAAACCAAAAAAATATCTAAGCACATCAAGTATTCGTTTACGTAAAAAGAAATCAAGTGATTATTCCCGAGTTAAAAGTATATCGCGAGAAATCTTGGCATGCGTTTTCTCTCTTCTGACGTCATTAAACAAGGACAGTCACAGCGACTACTCAGGAGCCTTAAATACTTAAGCGAAATGAATCAAAATAAGTAAAAGTACGTCGATATTCTATATCAATGCATATCAAATACACCAAGCCATATAAAGAATTTAACACGTTGCAGTATCATCGATTTACTTTCTCCCCTTTTCAACGATATTCCCTTAACAGTCAAATCTCCTTATAGACAGTAATTAGAGAAACGTTGCAGCGATGCATTTACAATATTGTTGCGCAACACCGACGACTCGTGGAAATCGCATTAGCGAGTTGTGGATGAAAATGTCGATGAACAAACTCGCGACCGAATTATTCGTCGCGACGTGACATCGCGCGAAGACGTATGTCTCGCAGGTGAGCGCGGAGGTGAGCCGCGCTATTGCAACGCAAGTGGTAGCACCTATCGTGTACACGCATCCCCGCGCCGCACACCGATGTGCTCTGGAGGGGTTTATCAGCGTCCAGCATTGCTTAGCTGGCACTGTTACATCGCTTTACTTTACCACGCTCTCGACGACGTCGCTTAGTACTCGTTTGACTAGCCGGCTTTTCCGCACCTGCTGCGAACGCACCGCCACTTTGTATCGTTAATCGCGCCGATAACGAAAAACTCCCGAATCTCCCTCCACTTCCCTCTCTCTCACTCACTCACTCGCTCACTCCATTCCCTCTCTTTCTCGGGACACCTCGATCACGATTTCCTCGATCATCATTCGTCGTGAATGAACGGATCGTCGTGAATTCCTCACGGGTCGAAGTCGACTCGTTTTTTTCACGTGGGAATGTCCGGTGAATAGAGCTGTTCATGAGGAGTGCTCGGGATACCTTGGAATCTACGATGCCATTGTGCTGCGAAAGATACGCGGACGATCGCGATAACGCGTTGATATCTTGATATCTCGAGCAAGATCGCGCGACATCTTACACGGACGGCTTGCTCGCGCGTGCGAGGTGTGTGTTCGCGGATTCTACTGCTCGATATATACTCACGATGGTAAGTACATAATAGTTTCTCCCACTTTCGGTGTTTACGTGTCTCTCTCGATCGGACGATCCTTGACCGAATTCGTGAATCGTGAATATAAGCGCCTGTACGGAGTCTAGCGCGCGCGGTGTGCTTTCCCTCTCGGAAAATCGGCGAAATCGCCAGTCGTGTCTCTGCCTCTGTGAACATTTGGAATTAACTCGAGTGTGGCCACGGCTTACTTTGTCGTGGCTCGTTTACGCGACATTCTTGAGGAAAGAATCACGCCTTCGACGCAGCCTCTACGGCAAAGCCGTGTGTTATTCGGCGTGTCTCTCTGACGTGAGTTTCCAACTTCAGTCTGGCTCCTGCCATGGAGTCTTGATGAGCATTTAATCTCGCGTTAATTTCGATCGATCGGAATGTTTTGCCATCGCGATGTACCTTACACCGGTGGGTGTTTACGGTGAGTAATTTACGCGGAGCTTAGCTTAAAACAAGTCCGACCGCGTATCGGGATCGGATGTACCTTTGCTCGAATCAGAATGCTCAAAGCCGCTGTATTATCTCGATTAGAGAGCGTCAATAATTCCATATCGGTGAGTAAATATTCCTTTAATGGACGGTAGGTGTATGATTCCGCAAGGAACAAGGGCGTACTTGTAGATTAATCTTCGGAGTTGCTTCGATAAGAACGGTATTTGAGAAGGGAAGTTCAAAGCTCGCTAAAAGGAACACGGACGTTTACGGTAGCGATCGCGTAATAGTTTTTTTTTCTTTTTTCACCTTGCTTCCTCGTTTCCTCTCCGAGAGAATTAGAGACGGAGGTGTTTGCAGATTTCAGTACATTACGGCGTTTGTAATCGATCGCGTCCGTTCGCAGACCTCATTATTAGAGATGCAGCTATGCGCATGCAAGGCCGGATGGTGCAAACGATCAATCGTGATAGATAGATATTCATGAGATAAATTCTTATTCTCACTGGAGAATCATTCGCGTTGTAAGTAGAGGGTGTGTGCGTTTCATTCTTGTCGCTGTAGCGACTGTGGATAACGTTGGACGTCGGAGTTGTGAGCGTACTTTTGCGAAATCCTTCGAGGAAACGGATATCGGTCGTGCGTAATACGTAGCGCGTTATAGGTGGATAAATAGGCGTAATTAACGGTGACTCGCATAGTTTTTGCTCTCGTAGTATCTCTCGAATGAGAAATATTCCGATTATTCCTAACACGTCGACTTAAGGAGATGCCATGCTTGAACATGCCATGCTGAAAACTTTACCGACCGAATACTGACTTTTTTTCTCTATAGTTAACATCTTATTGGTCGCATAGAATTGTAAATGCTTGTACACAGTGAAAGTATATATGTGAACGGATTAGAATATTAGCGTCCAGGCGAAAAAGATTAAAAATTTCAGCGACACATCTGGCTGTCGGTTAACGTAAACATCTTCCTGATAAACGGAAAAAAAATGTGCTCGATTCAAGCAAATGATTACTTTACTACTCCTCATTCCCAATTCAATCATTATGGTTTATATTTAATCGACGATCAACTCAACGCATTTGACTCATCGCAGTAGCGAATCAGTTGAATTGATTAATGCGATTGGCCAATTCCGTTGAATTAATCTTCGATTAGATTTAAACCATGATAGTGGAATCGGACATTGGCAAATTTTTACTTGGATTAAGTAAATATTTTATTTGGATAATTTTCCGTTAGATGTGATACTTAAAACAGAGCACAATCATCACATTCACATTTATATCGCGCTTTTGAGACCTGTATGTACGAAAAATAAAAAAAGAATAGCACGTATCAGTGTTTATGTAACATAACATTTTGAGGATAGCGTTATCGACGCTTATCAAGTTTATCATTAACTTTGGCATCCCCTTAACGCTTCTTTCTTCTTCGTTTTTTTTTTCTGTTTAAGAAACAGTGATTTCGTATTCTTCTTTCCAGGCGGCTGTCGATGAATTGACGCTATATTTTTACATTGCGTGCGGTGTCGCTGTCGGCGCGCTTATCTTTCTTTTCATTTTGGTGACCGTGCTATTCGTGAAAGTAAATCGATTAGCTCGGGACGGGTGAGTATCGCTTGTTCTTTGCTTGGCCGACGGTCCAAGTGGCGATCGAAGGCTTCGGTAGTGGTGGAATGCTCTAGTAAATATCGATTATATCGAATTGATTTCTCGCGGAGTGAGAACACGATGAATGATCGTTACGGACACGCAAATCGGTCGGAACGATTAAATTTACATTTAAACAATTCTCAAAGGATATTCCGCCTCGGTGAAAGCGCGCGTTCGACAGTCGAGAATACTCCGCGCGTCTCCGCACTCGCGTAACGCGTTTCAAAATTTCCGCAGCTAAATCGTACCGTAGCTAAATATATATTATTGCCCGATCGAAACGTCAGCAACGTATTTCACTGAGTTATCGCGTGTGAAATGTCGTATTTTAGAAGCCTCAACGTCGCGGAACTGTTTTCGTAAGATAAATGTTTTCTGGTAGTAAATAGCTCTTGTGTGTTCTCGCGTAATTTTGGCGTATCTTTCTAGTAAAACTACTTTGTTCCTTGGAAAAAAGATTATTCAGTTTTTGTGGCGGAATCTATTCGGTGAAACATGAGTGTTTTTGACGAAGAATCGATCAATATCAAATAATCGAGATATGATTTTCAGTATTGGTTGTTTAGTACAATTAAATATATTTAATTTCAATCATAATTGACCATAGATTGTTGTTATTTGTGAAAATCAACGCGTTAGATGCAACTGCTCGACATTTCGCTGTGAGTTCTGATTATCCGATTGTTTGGGCTTCGGCTACACCTGCAAAGGCGAAGGGATATCAAAAGGATGACTAAGATTTGAACATTGACCGGAATTTTCGTGCTTTTCTATCGTGAGAATGAGAACATACTTTCATTTGTGACTCATTTAGCCGACGACGGAATCGTTGATAGCGTATCTTTATTGCTCATGATGCGATCATTTAGCTTATCTCGTTCGAAAGAATGTAAAACATTGGACGACAAGAAGTCGCCTTGATTCTAGTCATAAGTAATTTCAAATTTCCGTATAAATCTGTAATCTGTAGCGATTTATTCGCTCGTCTGTCGATTTTTCCCTCGATCTCTCGTTTTCTCTCGTTCGTGCCAATTAGTTTTCCCGTAATCTTTCGAAGATATCTCCGCGCGGATTCTTTTTTTTTCGCTTTGTCACGAAACCTGGGAAAATCCGGATTCTTCTCGATTGGTTTTGATGTATCGTTTAGTGACTTCTTCGCTTATTAATAACGGCATGGTTTCAGTATCGTCTGCGATCCACGAATATCCACGAAACACACTTCCGCCTCCACCGAATCCCGTTCGCATTCTCTTTCCTCTCTTCAAGAGATACAAGATCGATCGCTGAGGTTGAAACTGAAAATTGATTTAGGTCCAATCAACTAAACAGGCAGACAAACATGATGGCGGACTTTTGTTACACCAATCCCACGATCGTGCCAGGAGAATTGCTGTCTCGCCGTGGCTTTTCTATGTACAGCGGGACCGATAATTTCGACGAGGAATTGGTCAGGAACAAGAATTCCATCCAATATGGGACTTACCACGAGGCTCGATCGAAATTCTAACTCATCGATCAAATTGACGCGTCTACACCCTGTAACAAGCGATCGAGTCACTGGCGCGTTTACTCATGCCAATTGATCAAACACTGATCAAATCGAATAGAGATTAGGTAATTTAACTTAAATCGTTATGATAATTGTTATTAGTGTTATTAAGTATATTTATCCCTTAACGTCTATAGGTTTTCGTTGTGTATTTATT